ATTCTTATATAATCAGAAATTATTATTGAATAACAAAATTAGTTTATTAAAGGAAAACTGCTGGAAGGTAGGGGGCACTATATCGTTTACTTTAACTATACTGTGTTTCTACATTGGAATGAAAATCATATCTACTTATTCAACTTTTATTAGGTATCGTTAAATGAAGAGTGCGTAATCATATCCATCCAAGAAGTTGTGCATTCTGGGAAAAGTTGTTTACATTTACCCCTGTATTTCTTTCCCAGTTTCTGAGCAGCATAATATTCGTTGTCAGTATGGTGATCAATTTCTTCATTAGTACTGGTTGGCCTGAAAAAATCGACTGAAATAACCCCTATAAACGATTGATAGTCTGATCAAAGAATATAAACTTTTTTGGCCGGTGATAACGGTATGAAAGCTATTTCACGGGTTTTCTTGGCCGTGGTCTACAGGTTTTTATGCCTGACGTTCCGTGTACTACTGCGGTAGATATTATTAAAGGCGATGAGGTAAAGGTCGAAGTGCTCATGTTGTTGTTCCCGTTGTTCCGAACGAATTAAATACTTCGCACAAAAGTGACTGTAGATAACACCCAGAAAGATGCTCTTTAGCAGACCATGTGAATAAGTTTGACCACCATATGTATTATAACTCAATGGAAGTGCTAACCATTGAATCAATCTCAGTTAAAAGGTCCTTTCTAGAAAGGCCCTACATTTTTGAAAATAACAATTGTATGAGCAAAAGAACAAACATTAATCACCTAAGTGAAATGTATTCCTACTTATTGACTCTAGACAAGAACTTTTACTATAATGATATCAATTTGAACAATTCCATTGTATAATCAGATCTCAATTTTAATCTAATCATAGACATTTCAAACAGAACAATTTTACATGATATACTAGAGTACACTTGGTATTCCTAGTGGAATTTTAAGTCTTCTATCACTTGTCAGTAGTCAGTCTGTCATATTTCAAAGTTCTAACCTCGAACTCGATCATTTGAATCTTGCACACATGAGGTCAACGACATTTTCAAAAAAATGTTTAATCATTCAGAATTGTAAATCAATTTTAATCTTCACCAATGTCTCATGATTTCTCCTTCAATATCAATGTAACCATCCTCAGATAAGATGTAAGCCATGAGCATTTACTATTTAAGATTTTACTGAACAATTTATATTATTGTAGTTTCCTTGATTATGGAAACAACATTTTCCGAAAGCTTGGACTAACTCATTTACTTGCTGCAAACCCCACTATCTAGAAAGGTTGATGCAGTCAATCTGCTGGAAAATAATTCCATGAAAATCAAAAAATAAATAGATAAGTACTTTTTGATCATTCCCATATTGATTTCAATTTAAGAGCCACCGGTAGACAGGTGTTGGTTGACCCAAGTCAACTTGGCAAGTTGACTTGGGTGTCACACCAATAGGTGGTTCCACTTATGTTTCGCTATCAATTATTCATAGATAACTAGTTAATTTGTTTAGTGAGCCCTGAAGAATTAAATCTGAAACGTCGGCAAGAAAACAACTGTTTTGTTACCCAACCAACCGTTCATCAGAAAAATTTATAGATAATGTTTAACGTAAACATACTTTCAGTTAGGTGAGAGTGATGACTTATCCCCTTACAATGACGTCATCTATGGGATCGAAAAGAGAATTCATTCCTTGAATATTAAAGATAAACAAGGCTTCCCAAGCCGGTCAGTTGAAAACCCACGCCGACGAGACTGTATATCTTTTTCGATCCCATAGATGGCGTCTTTGTGAGAGGAGAAATCACTGCCCTCACTTCATCAGGCTTGTCCTTCACCATTGAGTCCAGCAATGCATTTCTGGTTCAGCCTAGCAACACTGATGAGACCTTTGGCGAGTCGAAACAGCGCTGTCTGGTGTTGAATCAGGAATGCGCTGTGTTTGGGCTTTGAAATACTTTCAGCTGATGATCAAATGAGAATTATTTTTCTAGTCCAAGAAGATTGATGTCGATGGAAAAACAGTTTGTTGTTTCAGGTCCTAGTTTAGTGTTCAATGATCTGACTTTTTCGCTTCTTTCAAATGTTTGTGAAACACTGAGGTCTCAAAAGTTTATTGCGTTTTTATCTCGTCTATTCATGACTCTTACTCAAACAATTTTTTCCCTTCACAGGTTAGTACTTATCTAGTACTTACGTGAATATTGAATGAAACAGTTCCTCGAATAAACCATGATATTTGTCCATAGGGACATCGGAAGCTTCACATATAGATCGTAATACGCAAGCTCTTCCTCCATGGCCACGCCTGAGAAAAAAATTAGTACTGATTAATGAATGAGTTATCCTGAATTTCCTTGGCAGTACGAAGTGACCAAGTGTAAGATCGCCAACACTTACTTCCAAAAACAACACAAATGCTTGGAATTTAATTCGTGAAATTAATTGCAGTTCACCTAGAAAACCTTGTTTTATGAAGAAACAACCAAGGAGTCAGCTGTACCTATAACTACCGAGAAGAAAAACTACCGAGATGAATTTGAAGAAGTGTATATATTTGATATGAATCAGAAAAGAGGATAACTGTCGGGTATTTCTCCAAATACAGGGGTTTCTATCATATGGGCCTTCCTCAGTACGTTGGAGTGCATTGCGATGTTTTTTTCTCACCAAATGCTTCCATCCCTGTATTGTGAAGGAATGGAAATCAATTTATTGAAAAAACTCACCCTAATGAATCGTAGGACAGCATTTTATAGAAGTCCCATCTAGTGAGATGCCTTTTTTTTCGGGACGTGGCTCCATAGTCCGTAGGCGTTAGTTTGGAAAGATTCCTTGGCAACTCGTAGAGGGCACGAAAAGACCACCCTAAAAGTGCAACTTCTGGATCTACTTCGACTGGTACCCCGGCACCAATGACTAACTGTGAAAATTAAATTAATTTAATTAATCAGAAATAGAATTATCTAAAAGAGGAACTGCAATCAAAGCAGACTGTTTGCAAAATATATTAAAACAGGATATATGGCCTTTTTCCAGTCATAGGTCTTATTAGTAGTGCTAGGCCAGACCACAGGTGTTTTTAGTCGCAGACCCAGGACAGAGTTATCTACCTGCCTAGGAACTTATGCGACTGTATTTCAAGCGGAAATTTCACGCTTTTGAATTGTGTGCAGAGAGATTGGATGAATCCAACCTCCAATAAAAGTATTCTCGCACAGTCATGCGGCGTTGGAAGCTCTTGGCTTCTACCGAGCAACGTCTAAATTGGTAGCAAACTGCCAAAAACGACTCTCCTGGATAGGACGACGTAACAGATTGTCTCTGTTCTGGATTCCTGGCTGTACTGTCCTGGAAGGCAATGAAGCTGCTGACTCTCTTGCAAAGGAGGGTGCTCCAAGCGGCTTCATAGGACCAGAATCTGACATTGGCATCGCTGTGGGCTTTGCCAAACAAACACTGATCACCTGGATGGCAAGAAGATTTATGGACTTCTGGCAGAATCTTCCAGGATTGGCTCACTCCAAGGCGTTTATTCACCCTTCGAAGCTTGATACCAAACAGTTGTTGGACTAGAGTAGGGATGAACTACAATGTCTAACAGACCTTCTCACAGGTCACTGTCATTTGAATCATCATATGCAGAGATTTGGACTGTCGGAAGACGGTGTGTGTTGCCTCTGTCTGGAAAATGATGAAACAGCAGAGCATACAAACTAATCGGCAGCACCATACAAACTAATCGGCTTCGTTAAGAAGCTGGGTTTATTTGGCCGAGTGTGAGTAGGTGTTAGCCACAATAAACCCTTGCGGGTTGCGGTGGAGGGTTGAATAGACCCACTCACTTTAGACCTACCTACCTAGGCCAAACCACAAATGCTTCCTCTCCTCAAAAAAGACTTACAGAGACGTTATCTATGTAACCAACAAAAGCCTGAATCTACGAATATAAATGATAAACGAGGCTCTGGATGGCAGTCCGTGGCGAAGCTAAGCTTTGTAGCTTTTACTGCAAGGCAACCAGCAAAAAAGCAAAGCATTCTCGATTTAACACCAGATAACGCTGTTTCGCCTTGCCCCTGATCTCATCAGTGGTGCTAGGCTAAATTACTAACGCATTGCCGGACTTAAATTTCCTTGAAGGCAGAATATGCTTAGGTTTCGACCTGCTGCTTTGTAGGAACACAAAAATCAATCAACTCTATAATCAAGATTTAGTGTTGAATTCAAAATGTCAATGAATGTAATTGATTTCGAAGAAACTATTCACATTGTTGTGGATGAAATTTTCCTTGGGCAGTAATGATTGCATGTCTACTCAACCTTGCAGAATGATGGTTTGGAACAAGTCAAGCAACAATAATTATAACTGTTTTGACAGGTGACTGAGAATGGCCATTGGATTACACAGGCCTGCGACCAAAAAACTTCATAGGATTTTTTTACATTTTCTTACAGATTTTGACCTCCGAAAAACAGAAAAAATATTCAAATTATTATATCACATAAGTTTTTACCAAATCATCTAAAAGAACAATTCGTTCAGGCCAGTCTCAACACCCTACACAGTAGGTTAATGGACTGACATGTCAGTCCATTAACCTACTGTGTAGGGTGTTGAGACTGGCCTGAACGAATTGTTCTTTTAGATGATTTGATTTATAGCCAGTCTTCAAGTATGCCCACTGACTATACGTGAAAAATAAGTTTTTATGTATATTGCAGTATCTATGTTCATTGGTAATAAACCTATATGATTTTTATTTGATAATGGAGAAAAACAACCTGAGCTGTTGGTGAGACAGGGAATGTTTTTACATGTTGAGACAAGTCAAATGACGTACACTTTTACACAATTATATCCAAACTAAAATTTAAGCACACAATTTTCAAAGAAAAATAGCGGTAATCATTTCTTCTTTGATTTGATTTCTCATTTTTTATTCTCTGCTACAATCTTTTCCCGTTATTTTGGCGCAAAATAAGTTCTAGCATATTAAGTTGCATTTATACCTTCAATTGACGCCTAGTGTATATCGCTTGAAACAAAGACAAGCTCTCAGTAGACATTCTGATATTCAAGTGAACAGTGCTTTTGTCTGTTAATCATGGCTGCAAGGGGTTGTGTTATTTCTCCAAACAGTTTTTGTTATATCTGTGGTGAATTCGCTATTAGAAGTCAACAGGTGATTTTGTGAGGAAAGTTTATTTTGCCTACTTTAAATTAAAAATTGGTGATCAAGATAAATCATGGGCCCTCATAAGGTGTGTAGAAGATGCGAAGAAGATCTTCGTTTGTGGTTTAAGGGAAAGAAAAATGCATTTCGATTTGGAATTCCTATGATATGGCGTGAGCAGAAAAATCACACCACTGACTGCTACTTCTGATCAGTTGACGTAGAGGGATTCAATTAAAAAAACAAAAGAAACATAAGTTATCCTAATCTTGACTCAGCTATACGTCCAGTGCCCCATAGCTCCGAGATATCTATCCCGCAGCCACCTTCCTGTTTGGATGAATACCCTAGTGAGTTGGAGGACGAAGCTACATTGCCACCTCCAGGTGAATCAAGCTCAGATTCATCCTTTGACGAAGATGAAAGGCCTCAACTATTTTGTCAAGGTGAGCTCAATGATTTAGTAAGAAATTTATGTCTTTCAAAAGATGCAGCCGAACTGTTAGGTTCTAGATAAAAAAATAAAAACCTTTTATCACCTGGCACTTCTTTCTACGGGTACAGATACCGAGAAAAAGAATTTACTCAGTTTTTCTCAAAAGAAGGAAATTTAGTTTTCTGCAATAATGTGGAAGAACTCATACATCGCTTTGATATAAAGTATGACTCATCTGAATGGCGCCTATTCATTGACTCATCTAAGACTAGCCTTAAAGCAGTATTATTGCACAATGGAAATGAATTTGCCTCGATTCCGATTGGACATTCTGTGCATATGAAAGAAGATTATAACGATTTGGCTATTATCCTGGAAAAAATCAAGTATCGAGACCATCAATGGATGATTTGTGGGGACTTCAAAATACTGACAATGCTTTTGGGTCAGCAGGCAGGTTATACCAAATATCCATGCTTCTTATGGTTGTGGGATAGCAGAGCCAGAGAACAGCACTGGAAAAAAAAATGATTGGCCATCCCGGGAAACTTTAAAACCTGGAGAGAAAAATGTTATAAACACTACCTTGGTACCACCAGAAAAGGTTTTGTTGCCCCCTCTCCATATCAAACTGGGGTTGATGAAACAATTTGTAGAATCGCTGCAAAAGGATGGAGACAGTTTCAAATATTTATGTACAAAATTCCCGAAGCTATCAGAAGCAAAGTTGAAAGAGGGAGTTTTCACCGGCCACGACATAAGAAAACTTTTAACGGACCCTTCATTTGTGGAAACTATGAATGACAAGGAAAAAGAAGCTTGGGTATCGTTCAAGGACTTAGTACGAAAGTTTTTGGGAAATACTAAGGATCCTAACTATAAAACCATTGTGCAACTGATGCTAGCAGCATATGAAGCTCAAGGCTGCAAGATGAGCTTGAAGGTCCATTTTTCACACTCTCACATAGACTATTTTCCTAAAAACCTGGGAGCTTACAGTGAAGAGCAGGGGGAGCGATTTCACCAGGATGTCCGTGATATTGAGAGAAGGTACCAAGGGCGATGGGATGTCACTATGCTTGCTGACTACTGTTGGCTGCTTAAGCGAGAAACTGAAGATGGAAATCGGAAAAGGACTCGTCAAAGTATCAAGGAAAAGAAGAAGAGGTTTCATGAAGAACATGAATAAGTATATGGATCAAAATAATGTTTCGTTTGCTTTAAAAAATATTTATTGTTTGAAAATTTTGAATAAAGGAGTGTTTTAACCAATTTTTTGTGTTTGAATTTGCAAAAAATCCTTATGCGATAGAAAAAAATGGCCATCACTTTTGAAATCAGCGCACTTTGAAACATATAATTCAGTAAAAATATCTCATGCAGCTGACAAAATTTTTTTTTCGCAGACCTGTGTTATCGACGGATGTTATCGATAGTCAGAATAAATTAGATATCAAAATATTCCCTAGTTCAGTTTATCACCACAAAAATATTCTCATTTGTATAAAAATTTCTCTCTCTAAACAATTATGAAATTCAAACTCTTCACTCGCAATTCAGTATTAATTACATCTATTCACATCTTGATACTCGATATGGTTGGGAGTCTACAAATCTTACCTGAATGAAGTCAAATGTTCCAGGATATAATAAAAACCGCTTTTGGCGACTCAATCTCTTTCCAGTTTCTTCACAATCTACCATTGTATCGTACGTTATTAAAAATTGTATAAAAATTATCGACCACATTGTTACCAATCACTTCCAGTTAAGAAGCAAGTTCACGAAGATCGGTTGCTACTGAATAAACAAATTATTTGACGATATTATTAGTCAGTTCATTACCTAAGAAAACAAATAAACCGTTCAGTTTGAAATATTTCTGAATGAAATAATATGTACGAAATATATTTCTATAGATGACAATACCGCGAGAGAATATTACTCAAGATGAACCTTTCGAGGTCCAGTGCCGGATTTGGAGTTTTGGAGGTCCGGAGGCCCTAATTTTATTTTCTGACAAATTCTGATATTTTTTTTTATCTCTAGTGGTGAGGCACCCAAGCACTAGCTCAGCCTGCCCTCTTTCAAAACCGGCCCTGTCGAAGTAAAATATTGAAGTGGAGAAAGAGTTAGAACTTTCGTTCTTCTTCAACTTCGGGAGGTTGTAAGACATAGAAAAACCGAGATTTCAGCTCCTAACTGCTTATCATTTCGTTTATGAAACTCTTATTAGCCTATGCAAGATATTTTTCCTACATCTTGAATTCTTGCCAAAAGTATCTATTCAGGGTTCGAAGTTGAAAAAACTAAACGTTTTGAAGACGTTCATTTGTGCGGTACCTGGTTCATCCAAGGTGTACCTATATGTACCAGGTACGTCCATAAGACGTGCATTGGGCCTAATCTGTACGTCTCCAGCACGTACAATAGTTTTATTACTAACGAAAGAAAGTAATGAAAAGTAATGAAAAGATAAACTGAGTAAAAATATAATAAAAAATGGACGATGAGTACAATGCAATTTTTTCAGAATTTGTTAATATTCGATATACAGCGAAAAATAATGAAACACGAGTATATCTAACAGCTATATTTATTGTCTTCAAAACATATTTGTCCACACAGAATTCTCACAAGAGGGGTATTGTGCATTACAATCATGATTTTTATTTGCAGCTCTGTCGTAATCATCTTCGTCTGTATATTCCTCATGTGGTTTGATCCTAGAATAAAGTGAATAATTGTTTGGTGAGAAATGATATAATAGATGATATATTATATAAGACAAATTTCTTGAACAATTATTTCTGTGCACAGGAATATGTTCACAATGTTCAACATGGGATAAAACCAGTGGATTACAAAGCAGTTTTTTCACTCACTTCCGTAGTCAAAACCTTTCTATGAGGGTATAATAATTTCAGAGATGTATTAGTATTTTTCAATTTACACGTGACATGTTTTTCAAACCTGAGATTGGTGTCTAAGACTCATTTCCAAATATTAACACATTTGACTTATTCAGATTGATTTTTTGTGATTTTCATTCAAATGTATGTTGATGTGGTTTATTGCTTCTTTGATATCTACTGGGTTGAAGGAAAAATTAATTTCAGAATCGTCAGCAATGGGATTGTAATGTATAGAACATGGTCTCAAAATACTATCTTGCGCTACCACTGAATTTATCAGGCTCCGACTTGAAAATGTGTGGTCAGACATTAGATCAGACTAACACGATTAACAATCAAGAAATATTATGGAAATATTACTTTCATTTGATAAAAATAATCAAATTATTTTTTGGGTCAGTTCATGGCCAGCAATTTCCACTAATGGCAAAACCGCAAAACCGCTATGTTAGATGCAGGTTCGATTTCTGCGCTGAGGCTCGATGGGTGACTTGTAAATCAGATTCATGTTATGGAAAGTTACAAAATAGTTTTCACTATCTGGTCAGATTCTAAATTTGGTTGATTACCTGAAAATTGCTTTCATAATTTCTTCCATCAGTGTGCCTTTTCCTTCAGGTACTTGACTAACTTCACATATTGCTTTCATTATACACGCTCTGCCATCTTTACTTAACCTGAAACAAAATTTTTGGAACTGCTGAATTTAGTAATAATTTTTGAGCGCTATATTATATGTTGGAGCAACTATTGTTTGCAGCAGGAATTGTGAAACGTGAATTTAGATTTCATAACACAATTTTGAAAAATCAATTATGAACAGTATCAATAAATGAACTAAGTCAGTGGTATTCAAAATTTGTGAAAAAAATTATACAGTTCCTTTGACTCCACACTTCTTAATATCCTAAAAGATTTTGATGGTTCTGATCCTTTCAAGAAAAATTGAAACTGTTTGAAATTTCGAACCAAAATCTTTTGCAACTTTCCAAAAGAGATGAATAGATTAATCTTTCAGAATAGCAGTAGGTTCATCTATTTGTGTTTCTCATACTTGTGTTTGCGGTAGTATAGTTGATGAGAAAGGTACACATGGTTTGAGTTGCAGAAGAAGTGCAGGGCGTACATCTCGACATCACCAACTGAACGACATATTGAAACGAGCTATGTTGTCAGCGGATGTTCCTGAAATTCTGGAACCCTTAGGTACCAGTCGAGGTGATGGTAAACGACCAGATGGTATGTCTCTCATACCATGGAAATACGGTAAACCTGTGGTATGGGACTTCACTTGCGTTGACACGGTCGCGGCTTCCCATCTACGCGAAAGTTCCAACTCTGCTGGAACTGCAGCATTGTCTGGCGAGAAATTGAAAAGAAAAAAATACCCAAATCTTGGAAACAACTATCTGTTTCATCCAGTAGCGGTTGAAACTTTTGGTGTTTATGGCCCGGAGTCTCTGTTATTCGTTCATGAACTCGGAAGGAGAATAGGCCAAGTAACGAAAGATCACCGTTCTACTTCTTTTTTGATAGAAAGAATTAGTATTGCTATTCAACGTGGCAATGCTGCTTTAGTACTTGGAACTATTCCTCCTTCACATAATTTTGATGAGATCATGCATTGCCCTAATTTCAGTACGGAACTGAAACCTCTTCGAAACAAGCCGAGATATGTGGATATTCATCAGTCTCCTATCAAGGTTAATTCACAAGTGATTGATCCACCTTCTTCTTTTTCAGTGCGGTCAGTGGACTCAGGTCATTCTTGCTCCCCAAATATGAGTTGCAGTCCTCATAGAACTGGTTCCCTTTCAGTGGAAGAGCTTCATGAAGCAAGAGCCAAATCGATCCCGCTACGAAACCCTTCTTCACTTGGAAGGATCGATCGCAGCTTGAGAAATGGTTCTTATGGAGATTCTGTGAAACATGTTCTTCCTTACGAATCAGTAGATAGTTGTCCTGAAAATCAAGAGAAGAAAATTGGATTGGATAAATTAGTAAATACTTGCTACATGAATAGCATTTTACAACTGTTGTTCATGACGAAGAATTTCAAGAACGAAGTTTTAATGATGAACAAGAACGGGAATGTTTCCTACTTATTCATCAAACCCAAACACCTGTTCATGCAGCTGCAGTTTCGTAATAAGGTATCATCTTTCCCTCCAACCGATTTCCTGGAGTCTTTGAAGTCCACTAGATTATCGTTGTTTTGATAAAATGTTTTCATTTTACTGTAAAGAGATTATTTTGAAATCATTAATTAATACAAAAACAATATGATGACAAAAAAATTGTTGTATGAAATCAATTACAAATTAAATGAATGTAATTCATGAATGAATTGTGTGTATTTTCTATAACGTTAATCAATTTGGTACTGAAGAGCATTGGGGCAAGTGTCTTAAGGCGAAACATCGATGTATACCAGTGAGGATGACAGTGTTCTATGTAAGTGCAATTTTTACCATTTATTTAAAGTAGAACTCATGTGAATGATATCCGATTCTTATTCCACAACGAATGTTTGAAATACAAACTGAGTAGAGAAAAGAATCTTCTGTATAATTCAGTGTTCATATAGAAGTATTTGTTTCCAAAGAATTTTTTTTCTTTCTTGTAATTCAATGTTTATATGAAAGTAGCTGTTTCAGGAGGACTTTCTTTCAGTTTGTGCCTGAAAGTTACTTCTTTGCATGACCTACACATTCATGTATAGAGTTACTTATTTTCAAATTGATTACTTCCTTCCTTTCTTTGGAAGATTCCCTCATTCCCTTTTTTTGTATAAAGATGGAGTAGTAGAAAGCCAAAAACTTTCATTCCCAAAAATTAATCACTCCTAAAAATATAACCCCTTCAATCAGAGTAAATCAACTTTCCACTTTTGTAGTTATTTTCACAAAAATTTAAAAAAAAACGAAGCAGTTTCAGAAGATTTAACATTTATTGCTCGACGAGTTGATTGGTTATACTTACGCTGTGAACAATTTCTCGATTTTTCCATACAAATCACGTCTGGTTCTTCTGTGGATATCATGATATACGGGATGGACATAGTTTGGAAAGGGTTCGTTTCCAAAACCACTGCTTGAGAAAATAAAAATTAAAATTATTCAGCGTGGAACAATCTGATAGAATGGATCAATTTACAATTTCCATACTCAATATGAAAAAAAAAAGTTGAATTAGGTATTTAAAATTTCCAAATTGTAACTATTTGCTCATCCTAAATTCTGATTTAGAGTCTTTTAGGATTAGCTTGATTCTTTAACACCAGGTATTCAATTCATACAAAATAATATCTGTTTTGATAGTAAGTTGCTCTGTATTTTTGTCAGATATAGTTATGGTGTTGTCCACTAAGATCATAGTTATATACTCTGATAACTGAGCCCTGAGGTACTTCAAAATTCCCACAACTGTCATAAGAGTTTGAGGCATCAAATGTTACTACCATAATTCTCTTATCCAAATATGAGTTAACCCATTTCATCATGTATCATATATGTATTTGAAAGTATGTTTTTCAAAATAACAATTGTTAATTCCTCGGGCCTAGACTATTTTTTGACTTTCATTCTGGAAAATGTATTCAATATCTTCAGAAAAAATTAGAGATTGAAACGGTTAATGTGGTTAATGATGTGTCTGACAGCGAAAAATTTTGACTGCTGTTAAATAATTTGGAAAACGAGCTCAATAACTATATTTATCTATAGTGGTTTCTTCTGGACTACTTTTTAATGAATCAGAATAACCAGCGCTTCCTTCATTTCACTAGGAAAATATATTTGAGTGAGGGATTGATTCAAAAGATGTCTGGAAGCGTAAAATTTTGATCAAGATAACAGCTATAATATAATAGTTTTTGCAAAATTTGAGAAATTCTTAGTATATAAACGTTATGGTGAAGGTGATAGACATTTGAAAAGTAGTTTAAGTTTCAGTTGAAGTTTTTGGTTGAATTAACACTGAAATAAAGTTTCATTATTGTACAGTGTATAATTGTATCCGAAATCATTTTCAAATAAGCGGATCTTACCTGTTTTCCCTGTAATATGAAGACTTTCCATTTGCCGTCTTCCTCTCTTTATATTGCGATATACCGGGAGTGAATGCAGGGGAGTATCCATAAACCGGTAATTTTTTTACGAGAAACGGGTTATAATAACTCTTGACAGATCCAGGAAATCCCTTGTTTTCGTCCGGCCAGCCATCTGGAAAGTAATTGGAGGAGTCATCTATTCTTTTTGAAGGATGATGGTCTGTGAAAAATGTATCGTCATGTTCGATATAGTGATGATGCTGAAAGAAATTCAATTAAAATAAAAAAGATGATCTGGACGATATGTGAGAGAAATCTATGTTTCTAGTGGGACGAAAATTTTTGCTACATTCTGGATTGATGTTTTTTATGAGAGGTGTGAGTTTTCCATAAACACCTTGAAAATTTGTATTCAGTATACAGTGCGGTTGTAAAAGAAACCCTCGGCGAAGTTCAGCGGAGGCTGTTTTACAACTTAACCTGGGGGATAGCATGTTTTATATAGAAATATGAAAATAATTACCTAGTATACATTGGTAAGTGAGTAGTTCATGAATCTTTGTGAGACTAATAAAAAACAAAGGTTATAAATTCCAAAGTGAATGTTAAAAAACTATTTAGCTTAAATAAACATACACAAAGGTGAGATAAAGGGAAAACCATATGAGCAAAGCATAACATGAATATATTATCTATCCAGAAGACTTCAGATATGTTTTCAACTTTTCCTTGAAATTATATATGGAGTAGTGTCTAAATTCACTGGGCAGAGCATTATATTGTTTGATAGAGTTGTAAATAAAACTACGAGAAAAGCAGGCTGTCGAGTGTTTTGGAATAATAAAAGTGTGACGGTTTCGTGTCCTCGAATTATTCTGCGATTTGAAAGTTTTATTTCTTTCATAAATATAATTTGGCTTTTTGTAAATGATGAATTTATGTGTATTGACGAGTAGGTGGAACTGCCAGGTTTTAGCAATCGGTAACTCCTCGAACTTGGGGGATATATGGTCGAATTTTCTCACACCATAAGAAAGACGAATGCAATTGTTTTGTATTTTTTGTAAGCAATTTACATCAGTTTGTATCAAAGCAGGCCCGTAGATTATTCGCGAAGTTTCAACTTCAATTTGGAAGTCATAATATCTCTACTTTGATAGAGTTGACGTAAGATACTGTATGAGCTACGACAAAGTGAATTTATATGTTTGTGAAATCTCAGATCAGCATCTAGCCCTAAACCCAAGTTCTTGCTTTTTGTAATTGTTTGTAGTAAGTCTTGTCCAAGTTGGATTTCAATTCTTCCTTCAATTTCCCGTCTTTTGTGTTTCGGGCCAAATAGTATCAGCTGAGATTTTTCAGAATTCAATTTCAGGTTATATATAGATCCAGTAACTTTTGTAGATCGCTGTTAATTTTTTCCATTATATATAATGAGTGTCATCTGCAAAATGATGAACTGTGCAATGATCAATTATTTTATGGAAGTCAGATATATATAGAGAGAACAGAATTTCATATTCTCTTCTATGATAAGAGCAGATGAAATGAAATATGTTATACTAATCAATTAGGAAATTATCATCAGTTTCTATGCTCTCTTTATGCTTGAGTCCAAAATTTTTATACAGGGTGTTTGAAATTCGATCCCCATCATTGGGATCTCGGAAAGTATGAGAGATACGAAGATGGTTGAATTAGGGCAGAGTTGTGCATTTACTTGGCTAACAATATGTGTTTCGTCGCCACCATCATCAACTTTTTTATTTATGGGCGCCACATTAGATTCTTTCTGTTTTGAATGAAATCAGATTTTATGTTTTCAATGATGTATCATAAGTTATCATTTTTTTTTCGAACAATTGGAGATTTTGAAAAAATGAATTCTAATCATAATAGGCTTTGACTTGGATGTTTCTAAATTTGAGTTTCAATTTTTCAATTGGTACACTCAATGACATTTTGTTATTGTATTTTGTCATTGAACTTTTGGCGAAAAATGACTTTCACGAATAAAAAAAAGAGATATGATACAATTTTATTACAAATACGATAGAAACAGTGTTAGGACATCGGAAATGTATTTAAACTTGTATCCCGAAAGACATCACCCACATCGAACTATGTTCAAGTTATTGGATCAAAATCTCACCGAGTTTGGTTCGTTTTGAAAGCCAATGGAAAAATTCGGAAATAGAATCAATAATCAAAATTTGATAAACGAGGTGTGAATGAGGTAAATTAGACATTGCGTCCTTTTCAATGCAAATAGAACTTTGAACAAATAACCATAAATAACTGAAATGTACATACTGTTTTTCCGTTAATCAGCTGTCGCTCCCATACGAACGACAACTCTCAGAAGTTAGAAACTTGTGGGAGCTAAGGACCAACGAGATCTTACCTTTTAACGTGGATTCCAAACACGGTTGCAGAATTATTCCAGCTTCAACCAGATAAATTCTCTCGAGAAAAATATCTGTTCGAGGAGGGAATCGAACCCACGATCTTTCGATCGTGAGTCGGGCGCACTACCACCGCGGCCAATTCCACAACAGGAATCTCAGGAAACTCATGTTCATGATAACACAACTGTGTCCTCTTTCGAATTTTATTCACTGCACGATTAATTTTCCTCCTTCTCAATCTTCCGAACTCTCTAACAATGTACTGTTGAAGGTCCTCAATATTTTGATATCCCCCTAACCATAAACCCTACTTTTCAGTGTACCTCATAAGAATGTATCCATAACACGTAAGTCTGGAGACTTTGCTGGCCACCCCACCGGCCCATTATTTCCCATTCATTTATCACCAAACCTTTCAGTCAGGTGATTGGATACTCATCTGGTAGTGTGCGGTAGAGCACCATTATGTTGAAACCAGATGTTGTTATAGTTAGCCAAAGGTAGATCGATCGAAATCGATAGGTTTCTCCATTCAGAATGCCGTCAAATAAATGAGGACATGAGGACCCAAAATTATATCTTTGTAAATTCCTGACCACGCGTTAATACTGAATCGAACTTGAGGTCGAATTTCTCAGAACTGCCTGGGGTTGTTGATGCTCCAAATTTGTTCGTTATTTCGGTTGAATATCCCACAATTCGTAAAAGTGCTTCAATCTGTACAAGTAACATTTTCCACGAAAACCAGAAAATCAGGTCTTCTTATTAGCCAATTACAAAATTTTATTCACCTTTGGGGATCACCTGGATGTAATTTTTGAGATATGCGTATTTTGTAATATTTTGAGATGTCTCCAAGCACTTGTATGACAAATATTCATTTCGGAAAAAATTTAACGTGTAGATTTCCCCGGGTTATTAAATTTGTATCATATCTCTTCGATGATAGTGGCCGGAAGACGAAACGTCGGATAGCAAATCTGAAAACACCACTATGTAGCAGGAAAAAAGTCGCAATGTGGTAGTGCAGTTTATTTTCGAATCCTTTGATAAATAAAGCCAGAAAAAAATAAAAACTGTTTTTCGAAATTTCTGTTTTTCTGGATGTCTCCGGATATACTCGGAATTTCAGAACCTTCTTAACGGCATATTGTTAGTCAGGTAAATGCGCAACTTTGCCCCAATTTGACCATCTTCGTATCTTTCATAGTTTCCAAGATACCAATGGTGAGGATCGAATTTGAAACACCCTATATACGACCTTTTGCGATTTTTTGTAAAATATTCGAATACATAAAAATATTCTTGACAGAAATACCTATATATTTTTTACTGGTCACTTACCGGTGTTGTCGGTGGTTCTGTAGTGGTTTTCTTGAAATGCTTCAGAAGTAAATCTTCTGGTTCACTTGGTAGTTCCCAAGCGAGAGCAGCAGTAGCACCAAAAGTGAAAATTTCACCAACTCCTACTGACGGTATCGTTAAACAGTAAACTGCAATCGAATGAAATTAAATTTATTTCGATTATCCTTTTTTGATAGAGAGATAGAGCTGAGTTGTGGTTTTTGCCCCAACTTTCATGCCGATTACCCAGGGAAAACTCTTTACAACAAAATATAAGTAGTTTTGATGTCTCCTCCTCGTGAGGGCTCAATGGGAGAGCCCAGGAGAGCCAAGACCAAGAAAAGCACGCCACTGGTCATTGCATGTTCTGCAATGCAATGTGCTGTTCTGGTGCTTTCTCAGAAAGGACTAGGTCCCTGACCTATACGTTGAGCTCTTCCTGGTTAAAGGGCCCCATTCAAGCTGCTTTCTTTTATTAATCCCGTTTATATCAACCACTCAGAAATGAAAATCGTTCCGATGGTTGAGGGACTCGGCCACATCATTGGTATTTGATTCTTGATATGAGGTCTTTTATTATTCGCCTATTTCTCAAGGACTTCATGCATGTTTTTCATGCCATATCAGGCACCCAGTACTTGTCACGGGTGTCCATAGAGAATTCAAAGTAATTTTACGAACTTGGAGATAATTTTTGGATGTATATTCTATATTCACCAAGTGAAATGTAACTAGTACACAAATGTGGTCAATAGATCTATCTCAAAAACTTGATCTGTTGGGAAAAAGGAAGGGTATATTTGAAATTAGCGATCTCAAATTCCACGTACCAAAAAAAACAATTGAATTATATTGCCTTGTGTGTCATCGGTCAATACCATCCCATATAATATTCATGTCATGTCATGATTCCGAAACAGAGCCAGATTCCGCTGTTTCCCCAGAATCATCGTCCGATTAGTCTGCTTTGTTCAACGGCTAAGTTGGCTGAACGTGTAGTGCTGCAAAGGCTAACAGAAGAAGTTGAAGACCGAAATGTTCTGCCTGACGAACAATTCGGCTTCAGGAGGGCACACTCCACCGAGCTGCAGGCCCTGAGACTGGTCGAAAATTCCATCTCAGAGCTGAACAACAGGAAGACAGTCCATCTTGTCCTCCTGGATATTTCGAAAGCCTTCGACCGAGTCTGACACGAAGGCCTGCTACACAAAATGCTCGATTTCCATCTGCCTCGGGGTCTGGTCCGGTGGATTACGTGCTTTCTGAAAGACAGAACATTTCAGGTCCGAGTTGAAGAAACCCTGTCTTCCGTCAGGGAAATCGAAGCTGGAGTGCCTCAGGGAGCTGTGCTGTCTCCACCACTGTACAGCCTTTACGTGAGTGACCTTCCGAGGTTCGATCACGTGAAGGTTTCCCTTTACGCCGATGATACGGCTCTCCTCGCTTCTTCCATGGGTCGGGCGTTGAAGGTCGTCTACATGCAACGCGCATTGGACGACCTCGAACACTGGTACCTTGACTGGAAGATTCGAGTGAATCCAGAAAAAACTCAGGCGATAGATTTGGGGAGACGTAAAGTTTTTCCAAGCAAACGCGAGTCAAGTACCTAGGTCTTTGGGTAGACCGCCGACTCACCTGGGCAAATCATATTGATTATATCAAGAGCAAAGTGTAGATGAGGATAACTAAACTCTATCCTCTGGTCAATAGAACTTCAAAACTCAGTCTTAAAAATAAGATTTCACTATACAACATAATGTTCAAGCCTGTCATCATGTATGCTTCAGGTGCTTGGGGACAAACCGCCCCGTCAAACCTCTCCATTTTGGAAAGGTTGCAAAACAAACTTCTCAGGATGCTGGTGAATGCTCCATGGTTCATGCGGAATGAAGCCATCCGCAGAGATTTGAAGCTATTAACTATACGGCAGTTCATTCAGTCGATGAATCAGAGAGTTTTCGAGTCAGCGGAAATTCATGATAACCCATTAGTTGGGGAAGCTGTAGATTACACTATAGACGACTCCACTCAATTCAGAAGGCCCCGTCACTCGGTTGAGTGAAGGCCCCACGACTTCTGTTAAAATGAACAGTTTGTTCATCAAATACCTCAGTCAGGAAGGGGTAGACAAGTCCAGAGCGGCATAGAGGTCATTGACTTTTATGTCGCCACCAAAATACCTTACGTTATGAACCATTCGTCCTCCTGACGAATCTCAGTTGAAAGGGTGAGGGAAAAAATTTCCATCGTGATGAATATGAAGATGACTATGATTCCATATGATATGGGAGCCCAAGCGGGGATTTCGGGATTTACTATAGCGTAGCAGATTAATATACGGGGGAATACTTTGTACCCGGTTAAGTACCTCCACTAAATATGAGCCCCATATATAAGGCCGCCCGTGAAGGATAAAGGATCAGATTAGTTAAAAAAAAATCATTATCAGAAATTCTCGAGCGCGTCAGATTAAGGTAGGGTGAGTTAATTACATGCTAAAAAGTGTATATTCCAGTAATCTGACAATTTGAGAGTGACGCAAAGAAAGGGGAGGGCAGCATAGTTGTTAAAAAATAACGTCATTTCGACATTCTCGAGCGTAGCTAATTTTTTTTTATTTTGAAGGAAATAATTCAAGGATAACGAAAAATATATAATCTGACGATTTCCGCAAGCTGAAATAACAAAAATTCGTCGATAAAGTTTAATGCGAGCAGCTGTGTGATACCTACATGTCCCTCTCCGAGTTTCTATTTCTCTTTCACTTTTTCTCTATCTGTTACTCACTCACTCCTTCCCCACTCTGAATGTTGCCATGACGCCATCACAGCTGATCACAGAGACTCGTTCGTGATGAAGATGGTGATTGATTGATCAATTGATTATGAAAAATTAAATGTTTTTGAGCATTTTTTAAAATTATTTTCTTATAAATACAAGTATTCTACTTAAAAACATACACTAATTTATTTGCTTGCTATTTCCTGAGCTTTTCAATTAATTAAGTTCAATGATTAAAAAAAAAATTAAAAAAAAATATTTATTTGGTTAGATTAGGCGAATCCCTCTAGATTATCGTCAGATTATGACACAGCACGTCTAGAACATAAAGATGAACGATATATTCCTAATCTGACGCGCTTGAGTATTTCAAAATGGCGAATTTGTTTTGCACATTATAATAATGGCCGCGAGTTTGCATCAGATCGTCAGATTATTGAATGAGAGCTTTTTTGTTGCACTTAACACCTCCTTAGAAAATCTGACGCGATCGATTAATTTTTTTTTCTTTTCATTTTTAACCCTTACGTACAACCACCCGCATCATGCAAACGATCAGATTAACATACGAACATTATTAAAAATACGTAGGACATTGATGCTATCAATATCTGACGCGCTAGAGTATGTCCATGCAACAGTATTTTTTTACATATTTAAAAATCTATAGCCGCTTTCCCCACCGATGAAAACTTATATATAATATATCATTTTTTCCTTCTTATCATCTAAGCTTTGCAACCTAATATTTCTCTATGACGCTTGAGTAAATCCCCATTTTGCATCGTGGGCTCCCCTATTAATGCGATTTTATTCAAATATTTTCACTATTCACAAATGCCTACATGGTTCACAAAAAACAATATCATAAAACGCCACAAATCACATTATTACTGTCTTTCCTGACACATATATTGTCGAAATATAGTGCCCTTCCCCATAAAAGTATGCCAAACCGCCCTTTCTTGATGCTTCGAATGGTGAAAAGTTCTAGAGAATTCAAAAGAATACCCTCCGATGTGATGAGAACAAAAAATATCCACATTCCATCTTTTATATGTTTGTGTTTGCCTTCTTATGATAATTTCGCTTCAAACTTTCCAGCAACTTTTCGAACACAAACATGAAATATACATAAAAATAACTATGAATACTGACCGAGTTGTAGGGAACTTCCTTCAGGGAAAGTTAGATAACGCCTCCTCCTCGACAAAGTTTGCACAGCTCGATTTGACTTATTCAGCTGTTTTGAAATGTCCTCCTGCAAAGTTTGGTTGGATTCCTGAATGAGAACGCAAAATAAGAATAAAAACACCACGTTGGTAATCATGACCGTGCTGAAATTTACTGCAGCATTTCCAACATGATTTAATGGTCATTTTACAGTTAGCCGTTGGAAAAATACTCCTCTCTGGGTCTGTCATGTTTGAGTTTCAATTTACCGAATTGCGGCTAATTGTGCTAATAGAATGCTCGACATGATTTATTGAGTATTAGTATATGGTTGAAGAATTGCAGAGTTTTGATCAATTAAAACACAAATCTCCTTGATAACATTTTGCGATTTTATTTACCGTTTCTTCAGAGCTAAGAACAAAAAACATTTATAAATAAGTTTAGAACTGCCATTTCACATAGATTCAGTTAGGTTTGGGGTACCTCAAGGCACCATACTTGGTCCAATTCTTTTCACAGTATATCTTGATAGCCTGTTTAATCTCCACACTGATGGGACAATTATAAGCTACGCAGACGACACAGCAGTTTTTTATGAAGCCGAATACTGGAACTCGCTCATCACTAAAGCACAAAATGACTATACATTTTTCTAAAACAAAATATTTAGCCTTTTCAGTGAATAACAAAAAATTACCCAGTCTTCAACCCCTTGAAATCAGAGGTGAAAACAGCATCGTGAAAATCACATAAGCTACAGAAATAGAGTATCTCGGTGTAATGATAGACAATCATTTAAAATGGAACTTACATATTAGGAAGTTAGTGCAAAAAATTAGAAGCCTAACTTGAAACCAAGTTACTTTACGACGTTTCGATTGTTAGTATCCACAATCGTCAATCCAGTTATCACCCGAAGACGATTGTGGCTATTAACAATCGAAACGTCGTAAAGTAACTTGGTTTGGAATCTTCTAATTTCTAATCTTCTAAAGTAACTTCGTTTGGAATCTTCTAATTTTAATTTTCATTTCTTGTTAATATTTTTTTTAATTTTCATTTCGTATTATTACTTTAAGATTTTTTGGTTGTTGCTTGTATTTTATTTCATTGTAATTAAAATCATAAAAGCAAATTTCGATTGACTATCATTATCATCACTGGTCTCAGGTGAAATGTCAATAATGGTTGAAGAGGCAAGAAAATATCTTCAAGACATAAGAGCTAGAATCAGCGGACTGTATTGTATTTTAGTTACAGACAGAGATGGTGTACCTCTATTGAAGGTTGCTACAGAAAAAACGCCAGAACATGCTACCAGACCCAATTTCATATCAACATTCGGATTGGCCATTGATCAAGGAAGTAAATTGAGATTGGGAAAGACAAGCACCATAATTTGCTCATATTCTCAGTACCAAGTCATACAGATGAACAAACTACCTCTCGTAATATCTTTCATCACCAGCGATTCTTGTAACACTGGACATGTGCTAGCTTTGGAAACGCAGCTGGATCCTATAGTTTCTGACTTAGCTTCAGTAGTTGCAGAATCATAGAATATAGTCTGATCAAAAATATATTTAGATGTTGAGATTACTTGTTTTATATTACCATTGATAAAGTATTTAAGAAAAAAAATTGTAATTTCAGTTTATCAATATAATTGTTATTTTTCAGCCCCTTTTAATTTTTTAGATTCTTTCAATTTATATTAGATTAGATGATGGAAGTCCGAACTGATGAAATGCAGAGATGACTTCTCTCTTTTGACTAGGATAGTGGTTCTATAGTGCGTGCAGGTATCTATCCATGTGCGTGGGTTTTTGGTAAAGTTCGTGAGTAAGTCTCGCACCACATCGAGTACATCTACGAATGTTATTTGCTGGTCCTGTTCAGTCTTCATGATGAACTTGATGCTCGGTTGTTGAGCATTCGAATGGTCTAGGAAAAGGTTCAGAGCGTCCATAGTCGACCATTGGTTACCATAGCCGACTGGTGCGTAAGACAATAGAGATCCACAATCACACGGATAAATTCAACAGAAAAAAAGAAGCTGTGAACCTCAACCGAATATGGATCCCTATTCTTAGAAGCTCAAGAATAGCAAACAGCAGCTAGAAAAGGGTCGATGAATGTCATTGACAATTCACCTATTCCAGGTGAATGTATCATTACACCAGACTACCCGAGTCAACATGAATATGGTTTACGCAATCTTAATACACAGTCATCGGAGATACATTTAAGAAGTATGAGCCTCGCGCCAGCGTGTTACTAGCTTCTTCATGAGAAAATTCTAAAAATCGACGGCCTTCAAACTCGAAAAATAGCAACACTGAAAACCTCGGCTGCGAACCATTTTGTCAATACTGATAATAATAATAATATGTCTTTTTTCATACTCTATCGAATAAACATATTATTTAGAATACGAAAGAGCAGTGAAAATAATTATTATTGGTACCTTCGGTGTGTTACCAATGAAGCTACGGTGTTAGCAAAACGCGTTAGAAAAAAAGGAAAAAAATGTTCAATCATGGATACCCGAAGAAGTTGTTGTATAATGAAACACGTGCTTGGGTTTAGTAAACTGTATAGCAAAAATTTCATAATGAATTGTATCAAATACGCGGATTTTCATCAAGTATCGTCCAATTACATCACATATAAATTTTGAACTTGGCACGTCAACAATATTCGAAATAGTCTACTCTGGTTACCGGTAAACTATTTCAACAGACTGGGTAATTGTAAGTCAATATTTGAATATATGAGGCTCATGAGCTATACGTATAATAAAAAAAGCACGAAGTGAGGTTAATAATGAAGGAATTTTTTGTGTAAATACGAGTATCGTGAGTACAGTCGTAAGTACTGTATCCTGCGTCGTAGAGAAATAGATTCAATTATGAGAGACTTCTAGAATGTTTTTCTCGCGAGTATATCGGTTATTGGTTGTATCACTAATACTTATTAGTGTTTTTGGTGTTGAACAAAAGAAGATGCTTTCGAGAAAGAGGCGGTATTTGGCGTTTCCAGAAGGAGCATCTTTTGTGGTGAGCTACTTTTCAAATTATGAACATTATCAGTATGTCCATTTGAAAAAATCTCAACCTGAATTACTTGGTTCCTATAGAAAATATAAAAATGTGCAAACCAGTTCTAAAATATCATGTTTTTGACGTCTTCTGAGATTTTGAAGAAACCAAAGCTGAATATTCAGTAAAGTGAATGTTCAACATTTACATTGAATGAATAGCAAACAAGAAAGCCTGATGATGTCAGTGGTTGTTTTTCAAATATTCGCAAAAAACTAGAACTGTTGAATTTCGATTTTTGGCTCTGCCGCTTCCATTTCTAGTGATATGAAAAAGACAGAGGAACTTTCAGTACTATATTATATTTGTCATAATCTTGTAAACCAATTTGCAATGCGATGTTTCGTTCATCATCATGAAAATCGATGAAAAAATCAGAGGTAGGTACGTATTAAAGTAATGAATTTTTAGTTAATATACTAATTTTACTAATTTTTACATAAAAACCCTGAATATTTTTAAACTAAACACCTCCTGGAGCTTTTCTTGAAAGCCTTCAAAAGGGGAGCTCTAGGACATACCAAAAAGTGCATATTAGAACTACTTCAAAGATTGGAAAACACTTGGTCACAAATGTATTATATCTACGAAGATGACAAAATATAAATTGATGAATAAATAAATATTTTGAATTCACAATTCATGTCAAATATCATCTATTTCGAGACTTTTGGTGCAACAACATCAACGGACACGTCCTTTTCTAGAGGAAATTGTATTTTCTTCGATGAAAAATGAAAACTTAAATAGACTCTTTAACTTTTTTCTTTTTTGATAAATCTCTCTAGTAAGTTTTGATATTGATTTTCATCGAATATTGGCCAGTTCCATTCAATTTATGAAAATCCAATCGATTCGTGGTCAGATTCTAATTTGCGAGTTACAATGTTTGAAACTTATTTTGTTTCAGGTATTACTATGTTTATCATACCAAAGCATTGCCGGAGTCGAAATATTTTACCAGGGAGTGAATTTTGGAGCTGCATTCAGTTTGCCAAATAGATCCAGCATACAAGAATACGCTGTGAACCACAAGAAAAGAAGAAGAGAAAGAAGAGATATGTATTCCAAAATAGAAACAACACTAGAGGAGTAAGTCAAAAATATCCAAGTTGATTTTATTAAAGACTCCAAATGAAGTTTCCTCCATTTCAAACTGTCTATTTGCAACCAGTAAATCGAACATTTTTGTGTTCAAATTGTACAATAATGTGATTTTTAGAATGGGCCTGGAGGGCCGCCCTTGCATATACAGGGCCTTATGTGAAGCATCCCGTCGTTTCATGTTCAAATCCAGTAAACTGTCGGAGGAACTGTTACGAATAATATTCAAGTGAGTATGAGAGTATTCTTTTTAAATTGAGAAGTGATTGTTGCTTCTTTGCGGGTTCTTTAATAATCAGTTGTACGCTTAATCAAATTTGATAACTCAAAATACACCTTTATTTCACTGTTTCACTAGACTGCAGCAAATTCTATATCGGCCAAACCAAGAAAAAACTGATCCAAAGGTGCGACAAGCACAAAAAGTATACATGAACCCAATAACATATAAATCACCTTTCGCAACACACGCCATACAAAACAAACATAAGTTTCCCACACTAGAAAACATCAAACTCATAAAACAAGTCAATAAAGGAAACCGTATGAACATCTGGGAAAACCTAAACATCCATAAATCCAAAGGTCACAATTCACTTATCGAGAAACAAATACCAGGAAACAAATACAAAAGTGTGGGAAATTTAAATTTCAAGATTTGTGTACCAAATTTCATCAAGTTTCGAAAAAAATATAACCGATATGGGTTATAAATAAATGTCAGATGAAATCAAATTGATATCTGTTATGAAAAATTGAAAAAGACATAAACTAATTGTAATTATTTAGGAATGATGAAAAATTCGAAAATTATTCTTGTAAACCATTTCCTTAGAAACGGATATCAATTGATGCTCTTGAAAAATATTTATATTTGACATAAGTGAGGTTAACTATTTCTGTAGAAACTTGTTAAATAAAAATGTAACTAAATTCAAGAACAAATGTGAAAATCATAGAATAGATAATTTTTCTGATATTGAAGTTGAAAGTTTGTAGTTATGAAAATTGAGAGGTGGTAACTAAGTAAAGTAAGAGATTTTCAACTTTTTTGTCAACAAGGGGATTATTCTCAAAGCGACGAAGGTGAACGCCACGTGAATTTTCTGTCTCCAGAAGTTTGTAAAATATTGTAAGAGAAAACTTAAGAATTGAAGATAATTGTATTGTATACTGTTAATTAAAAGTAAATTCAGTGAAAGCCTACCTAAAAGCCCGTTTCAGTGAAATATCCTCGATTCTGCTCCGAAGTTTAGAAAACTCACATCACACGCCAACATTGGAGGAAAACAAGGTATTTACCGATTCCACTTCACATCAAAATATATGCATGGTAAATTTTCGTTATGTGGACACCCGGCGATTTTGAAAACATTTTTGACTGTACTTACGTATTTTGATGCGTAGATTACGAATCCGAAAGAAAAAAGCGGCGCTCTCCCTTATTTGAAAAGTTACGGCCCTTCAAAGTTCAGAAAAGGGCAACTTTTCAGCCTTCTTTTTCACTAAATAAACTATTTAAAAACACAAGCATTTATTCACGAGGTCACCTTTACACCTTATTCCTTCTTCTTTGACACTTTTCACTTCAATAATCAACATTTTTCTTATAAAAATGTACGGAGCTGCTTTTTGGTTACATATCACTGTATTTTACGTTTTTAAGGTTGATGATATGGTTGGTACGACTGATGCAGTCCATATTCCTGAAGTAATTCAAATGTTTTTTACCTTCATTCTTTAGATCGTAAATTGGTTTTTGGTGGTGTATTACGAATTTAAAATAGTAGGCGACGGCAAATACCAACCGCTTTTTTCTGAAATGTCACTAGTAACTAACCTAAAAATAGAATAATGTCACCAGGAGAAGCATTCGTTTTTAAATTAAGTTTTTTATAAGAAAAATGTTGATTATTGAAGTGAAAAGTGTTAAAGAAGGAGGAATATGGTGTAAAGGTGACCTACTGAATAAATGCTTGTGTTTTTAAATAGTTTATTTAGTGAAAAAGAAGGCTGAAAAATTGCCCTTTTCTGAACTTTGAAGGGCCGTAACTTTTTAAATAAGGGAGAGCGCCGCTTTTTTCTTTCGGATTCGTAATCTACGCATCAAAATACGTAAGTACAGTCAAAATTTTTTTCAAAATCGCCGTGTGTCCACATAACGAAAATTTACCAAGTTTGCCAACAGAATTACAGTGACCCTGAATAATAAAATTAATATTTTACAGACAAAGAGTGCGAGAAATTTTACAATTCTAGTTTTGGCGAATATTTCAAAAGCAACCAATGATATTCTTGATCTGAAAAGAGATTATTCTAGTTCCCCAAAATAGTAAACTCTTGTCCAATTCAACCGACCTTGTAGGTCTTACTGTGTCCGAGATAGCAATAATGGGATCAGCTAAAAAACCGTCCTGTATATTCTAGTCATTGTATTGAATATATTTTACAGGTTTCCTCTCCAATATCTTTCCCAAGATGAACCTGATGATCATCATCTCTATCATAAAGCTTATCGAAGTGGGAAGCAAGAGAAGCAACAGGATTGCAAGGAAATATTTCCAGAATGTTCAATATCCCTGATAGATTTGGCATTAGGGGATTATAGTAATGACGGCAACACTTGAGTGCTCTGGCTTTTGTTTCTCTTATCAATCTGCCACTCGTAAATAAATCAGTTGAACTGCTTGAAGCTAATTTTGATTGATTTATAAGTATCAACCTTAATACATAATTATTTTATCTACACTCCGTTTATCAGCTGAATATGAACAAGCAAGGAAAAAAACTAAATCAATTTCACAAAGATATCTTTCTTGATAAAAGTATGAGACTGAGAAATAATTCATCAACCCCTAGCCATAAAAGTGATGAATAGTTTCATCAATTAACCTTTTCCCTTCTCTGTTTATTTCTCGCTTCATTTCTTGGTTCAATTTGTCAAGACATTTCGACGCATTTCAGTCTTTGAAATTCTGTCCAAGGTAACGGTGTTTTCATTTTAAGACGAAAGGAGATTTTTCAAAGACAGGTTATTTAATATTCTATGTTTCAGTGTGTCACTCATAATATCTACTTTCCGGCAAATAATATTGGAACAAAAAATTGCTTTCATTGCCGGGGTCACGAATATATAGAAAACAATCCGGGCTGGTTGAATAAAACCTAGTCGAATAAAACCTACAACAAACGTTTCGCCTGCTACTGCGGCAGACTTCATCAGACACATGTCATATCTCGAAGTCTCAGAAATGACTGACTGGTGAGCTATGTGTACACTCGTATTTATGATTCCAGATGGCAGCGGGGGTAATGGTGGGGATAGTGGTAGGGTTGATGGTGCTGTTGGTGATGACGAGGCATCCATGCAAATGCTCACGCCTGATTGGTTCGCACTTTTGCTGGATCTTTCTGATTGGTCGGCACTGTTACTAGGTTATTCAGAAATAGATATTATCACAAATTGCTGGTTACTTTTTTGTATAAGTTTCGAAAAAGTAAATGGAATGAGATTTAAGATTTCATCAGACACATGTCATATTTCGAAGTCTCAGCAATGACTGACTGACGAGCTATGTGTACACTTGTATTTATGATTCTAGATGGCAGAGGGTGTAATGGTGAGGATAGTGGTACGGCTGATGGTGCTGTTGGTGATGGCGGGGAATCCATCCAAATGCTCACTCCTGATTGGTTTGCATGTTTGCTGGATCATTCTGATTGGTCTGCACTGTTACTAGGTTATGTTCAGAAATAGATATCATCACAAATTGCTGGCTACTTTTTTGTGTCAGTTTCAAGATAATAAATGGAATGAGATTTAAGAAATATTTGTAATGAAGGATTTTGAGATGAATTTAGTACGCTTAAGATTAGTTCCAACTCTTGGAAGAATGGATATCCACTGAATATTCGTGTATTTTTTGGAAATGACGAGGCGGTGCATATTCCAGCTATACTTTTTTTATTTCAATCATAAATTCCAAAACATTTCGCTTCGATGTATCATACGTTTTGATTATTCAAAGAAAGTATCATACTATTAGTTCAAAAATAGATTGAATCTCACTATTTGGAAATCAAATTGAAGGAAAACTTAGATTTCAACGGTATTTGACCCATTGTTCTATCAATAGACTCTACGATTTTCCGTAGAACAAAATATTTATGAACCGCAAACCGCCCGAGCAGTGGCGTCTCGCTTAACTTTTGATTATGCTAGACCAGGGGTCTCCAAACTTTGAAGCCTTCGGGCCATAATCATTTTATCAGTTTGTTCCAAAAGTCAATTTCTGTCCTCAACTATATTTCTAGACTAGGATAGTAGCAAAGTGCGTGACCTAAGCAAACCTACGCTTTTTTTCATATCAATTATTATTGTGTATTGTGACACTTAACGACATCTAGTGGCGAGTAGTGGTACTATGTACCATCTTTCTCAGCTACCCGCTAGGTGGTATTAGGCGTAATTAAATATTTGGAATTACCGCGTTGGTTCGAGAAAGGTCTGGTTCTAGCTAGTGTATTCCGATCACCTCGAGATGGCAGTAATAATTGCATATTAAAAGGCTAGCGGCGCAACTGCGAGTTAGTCTGCGTAGGAAAGGCGAAGGAAGCGAAACTGTCTATTGTGAAATAAAGTAACACCCGTCAATAAAAGTATTTTGATTTGACTTATTGTTTTTATGTGTGATTTGTTAGTATGGAAAAGAAGCGAAAAATCGACAGTGAATGCAGAACGTTCCAAGAAAAATGGAACTCTCAGTATATTGTGATTGAGTCCAGTAATAAGGCGCTATGTTCAATTTGTAATGAAACCATAGCTGTTCTCAAAGACTATAACATTGAACGGCACTATGAATTGAAACATCTTCAAAGTTACTTCAATTATACAGGAAGTTTGCGGAAGGAAAAATTTGAAGCTTTGAAACGCGGACTCAAATCGCAGCAATCTTTGTTTACCAAAACCTGATTTATACACCAATATCAAATCCTTCAGGCAGACAATAATACTATTTCAATCGCAATTACGTAAAAAATGTTTCACACATTTTGAAACATGTGAAATATTCAGCCACACTACAGAGACTGAATTTCCCGTCAATTTTGCAATCGAAACTTTGAGTTTCGTTTTTCAGATTTTGATGTCATTGCGAATGAAATTAGCTTTTTCAAAATCCTTTTGATTCTGACATTGAAACCCTGGCTCCGGAAGTCCAAATGGAAATTATTGATTTACGGTGCAGTGATATGCCTAAGAACAAATATCAAAATTTGTTGTTGGAATTTTATAAGAGTCTTCCACTGGAACAATTTGATAATTTGCATAAATTTGCTCGTGGGTTGTTTTCTGTTTTTGGTACTACTTACTTGTGTGAGAAAACGTTTTCCAAGATGAAGTACACAAAGAATGTTTACATATTTCAATTAACCGATGAGCATCTTATATCTCTTTTGATAATTGGTACAAGTAAAATTGATCCACAACTACAAAGTATTGTCGATGGAAAATCACAATTACATAAATCTCATTAGTATTTTTGTTTTACTGAGATTCATTTCAATTATTTGTTAGTTATTAATATGCTTAAACTTAGATACTTAAGTTAAGTTTTCTTTGATATCATTTCTGTCTAAAGCAAATGGAACTTCAAACGTTCAAGCCAGTCTCTATATACCTACACAGTAGGTTTAATGGACTGACGCCTATCAGAAAACAACTACTCCCCTGGCTAATACCACGAAGGGCGTTGGATTATATCAGACAGGCGTCAGTGCAGGAATCTTCTGATATAATCCAACGCCCTTCGTGGTATTAGCCAGGGAGTAGTTGTTTTCTGATAGGCGTCAGTCCATTAAACCTACTGTGTAGGTATATAGAGACTGGCTTGAACGTTTGAAGTTCCATTTGCTATAGATTTGTTTATTGCCAGTCTTCAAGCATAGCCCATTGACTAATAAGAAAAAAAATCATTTCTGTCGTTAAGTTTTACCTTGTAAGTAAATAAAACCGAGTAATTATCATTCTGTGTTTTCTTCTTCAACTTATCACAACAATAGTAACAACAATTAGGTAATCATTGGCTGTCGCGGGCCAGATTGATGACAGTAAATCATTGGCTGTCGCGGGCCGGATTGATGACACCGGCCGGCCGGATTTGGCCCGCGGGCTGTAGTTTGGAGACCCCTGGGCTAGACCATATGAATATTTCAATTCATCTTCCTGTATATTTCGTGTGACTCTAGAATTTTTTTAAAGAAGCTAGGGTGGCTCCAAGATTTTGTTTTCAGTGGCCTCACCTTGAAACAACAGGAACATTCAAAAGTTTAGTTGGGATAAGTTACAAAAATTGAAAACCTCACGTTCCCCCCTCTTGATATACAGTAGCAAAATTTTACTAGCAGCGATCAATGAGTGAAGAGTAAGTATCGCAGCAAGCGATAGTGGACATTTGAACAAAATACGAGTTCTGTTGAAAAAATAAGGTGAATTTTTGTTTGGTCAAAATGCAGCAATTTTGGAACGAACTTTGCTGGCACACGTGTCATGCCGAAAACTTCCGAAAAATTGCATGACATGAGCTAACCGATATACCGGCATCCTCAACAACTTCTCTAATAGTAATTCGACGATCCTTCATAACAATTTCCTTCACTTTCTCAACATTTTCACCGGTTTTAGATGTGCTGGGGCGTTCATTACATCTTCTCGAGCTTCTTTGAAAAGTATGTAATACTTGTAAACATTTTTCTGACTCAGAGTACAATCACCATATGCCACTGTCAACATTTTTTCAACAGATTTCATAGAGCTATTCAATCTAGAATAGAAATGCATAAAATAGAACAAAGGAACAGTTTGTTATGTCTTATGCAACGGAGACGCACTAGATCGCAGGCAAGGAATTCATAGATTATTAAAAATAACAACTAATCGAAAGCATTTCAGGCAGGTATTATGTCCAGCAAAATAATTTTGAAGTAGTTCCAATTAACTATATTCCCCACTTGTATGTCAGAAATTAATGCGAAATGTTCCTGTTCATATTCCTATATTCTCATTTACATTGTCACTTCGGTGAAGAAGGAAGTAAATTTAAATTAGTGAGACATTCCCATGGAAATATCACATGGACATGCGCATAAAAAATCAAACTGTTAATAAATCAATTGATAAACCCAATGGAGATATTCGACTCATGTTTGTTGATGAAAATACCATATCAAATAAATCTGACTCATCTACGAACTCTACGAAAAAACTTGATCAGAACAATGTTTAATAGTAACTGCAGCAGACTGATCAACAGATTTTTGTAGTAGGTTAGTCTTCCATAAATACCACAGATATGTACATTCCACAAGAGTCTCACATCTATACTTTCAACAACAACGCTAGTGTTCCCCAGGGATCCACCCCACACAGTACCCCAATATTCATGGAATATTCCCTCTATGTTATAAAACGAACGTATATATTCCAAATATTCATAGAATATTCTTGGAATATATACATGCCTTTAGAATATTCATAGAATATGCTAGAATAAATATAGCAGGATCATTCCCGAAAGAATGTGCATAGAATGTCTATAAATGGAATATTCTGTACGATGTATTACTGGAATTTTGAATTATCTTATGATAACGTATTCAAATAATTCAAAATTATTAAAAACAAAAATAATTGAAGATTTTAATCGAATGCATAACCTAATGTATATAACCCTAATAGTGTTAACCAGTTTTTGAACTTAACGCGAAGATTCTGATGAATTGCTCCAACTGCAACTGTTGGAAACGAAAAAAAAATTCGAATGAGCCAATAAATGAATCAATTGCATCAATAAATCGATTTATCCTCATTCTATTTGTCTTTTTGTATTTGAAATTATTCAATTAAAAAGCGACAAATCCTGGCAACGCTTCGCAGCTTTGCGTTGAAATCGACATTTGATTCAACATGGCGGTTGATATGGTAGGTTCGCGTATGTACTGCATGGTGTTATTATCAAAGTATAATTCTCTCATGTTTAGTGTACCATTTATAGTTTGAGGCTGTCCAATTTGCAGTACAGCGAATAGTTTGCTTTTGCATCTTCAAACAGTAGAGTTACATATTCAGTCTTTAAGAAAAGTGAGTAAAAGATAATAGTATCGATAATAAAGTCATGGTGCTTAACCTACAATGACTCATTTCAGGACCGAGAAAAGTTGGTGTGTGGGATTTGTTGGTTTGACTAAGTACATGTTTAAACTAGAGTGATTTCAGTTATGTATTTTCAGTAGAGAAAAGTAAGTGAATGACATTTGTTTTCATAATTTTTATGATAGATAGTAATACTATCCCCAAAAGGAAACGGAGTGGTACCTGGTACAGGCAGGTGCGCCAAGAAACCGAAAACGTAATGATTACTGTTCAATGAGGGAATGTAAGTTGCTTTCCAAGTCATAAAAAGTTGTAAATGTTCATGAGGAACCTATGAGCAATAAATCTATTTGATTTTCATTCCAATTTTTTTGTGCCACTTTCATATAGTGATAGTGAACGTTAATGTACATTTTGTTCCAGGTATCACTATTGAAACACTGGCTGATGCATTGTTGGACAAATATTAGAAAAACTCTTCTGGTGAGCAAAGTTTGGATAACTTTAAGTAAGTGAAATTCATTAAAGAACCCATCATACCACTCATTTAAAATACTTTGCTTGTGGGTTTATTTTTTAAAGTGAGAAACCTATATCTCGCTCATTTCGTGATGAAATACAGCTTATTTTGTCAATGAAATGATACATTTAGGAACATCCTAATTCAAATACATTTCTGATATTTGTAACATGACAATATTCAGGAATATTTTATGCAGTGAATAAAAATCTCGAATTAGATTTTTTATTTTTGATATTGGTAGACACGTCAAATATTTCAGTGTAACAGAATAATTAGTGACTGGATTAACTATAAAAAGTTATTCGAGGTCAAAATCCAACCTCAAATAGTTGAGGATAACTTTTACAATTTCTTATACTCTATCACAAAATAATGACTCAAAAACATGAAATATCTTAGTTTTTGTACATCTTATCTAGTTTTTTTTTTGATAAAATAATAAATTTTTACAAAATATCGATAATCGCAGGAAAAATCGATATTCTCATACCTAATTAAAAAAAACTCGGAACTGTACTTTACCTGAGTAACGACTTGAAAAAAATTAGTCATTCTCTGCACTTGACTACCAGCTAATGTAAAATATTAAGAATAATGTTTCACTGTTTCGGAACACTGTTCCGAATTAGAAAACTGTCCAATCCCCAGTAACTTTTGATGTTGTATGAAGCTCAGATTAGACCTTCTTTGGAGTATTGTTCACAAGAACCTAAATTGCAACCTTGATAGAGATTGGAGATTTGTCTCTCTTTCATAAATACTTCAAGTAACTTGGCACATTTGATTCCTCCAAGGGCGGTACATATCAGAAATACGCGAAGGACTATGGCTGCTCATAGTTTTAAGGTTCAACTTAGTACATCGAACTTCACTGTTTAAGAACGCTTTCATTTGAAGAACTACGTTTATGTGAAATAGACTTCCTGAAAACTTTTTCCCAAATGAACTCATTCTCCAGTGATTCGCATCGAACATGAATCTACTTTCGCACAGGCACCGCTCTTAGAGCGCGTGAGGATTTTCCTGCAGTGCTTGTGTTTTTGTCCGTGGAAAAAATTGTTTTGAAAAATTGTCACTTGGATTTTTTTTCTATATGAGGTCAATGATTAATGATAAAAATTTTGTTACAGAGATACAGAAACAGTATTATTTACATTTACAAAGAAGTTCTGAGATTCAAACCAGAAAGAGTAGAAGCTTACATTGGCTTCACACTGGAAATAAGGATGGAACCATTAAAAACCAAAGTCGAAGCGAAGTTAGATATACCCATTTGTATTGAAGACTACTTCAAGATAGAAAAATATTATTTTATAAATATTATAGCTGTACTTTCATCTAAAATTTTCAATGATCCAAATCTCTCAATATTTGTCTTCCAATTTTTTCTGATCGTCACGCTACAGCAATTGAATTTCTGAAGTAGGTCGAATTTTCATTCTGTTGAGATTGAATAATTTCACAACCCACTCATCTAGCTGCTTCCCCGGAAAGAGGCATTTCTGCCGTCTTCCCCGTCTATGGGGCACTCTTCCATTTTTCTAGTTCCGAAATATAAAACCGTTCAGATAAGTTATGTGCATCATTTCTCCTCGTGGATAATGTCGTCCCAGTCAAGTTTCTATATTCTTATTGGCGACGTTAATCCTGAGCAATTTTTCAAATGGAGCCTGGATCTTTCAATGATGCGGACGAAGAAGTTAGTGAGTGATAAAGAAATTCAACTCGGCATTTCAGACTCTGATTAATAATGTTCTCATAAAAGAACGACACAGACATATTTTATGTTTATTCGTCATTCTCTTGGGAATTGTTTAGGAGATTATGTAGACTTTCTGAACGTTCGGAATAAGATAGCTGAAATAACGATGGAACTAACTTTTAGAAGTATAAACAAGCAGTAAGAAATGGGGACAATGAATTTGTGTACAGCTGAAACAGAAAAATACCGGAATATTGTTGGAGAAAATAAATCCGGGGAAACATCATAAGAAAATAATGATTTTGAGTGTTTATTTTATGTGGGTGGGTACCCTTTCTTTTGTATGTTGTAATTATTGTTTCAAAAGAGTTTGAAACTATATAATGGAATTGGCCGATACTTGATGAAAATTCATGACTTACGCATTATATAAATCGTTAAATAAATGTTCTGTTTGTTTGTTCGTAATGAATAAATTCAAAAACAACTTGAGCAATGTTTAAACTTCTTATATTTACATTTATGACATTTTTGTGACGAAATGTTTTCAGTTAATACCAAATCCTATTTGATCAAATGGAATGATAAAAAATTTCAGAGAAATACTTACGACAATATATATTTTCATTCATTTGCTCTAATTTTAGCAAGTGACGCTTTTTCCATCAGGGGTGATACAAATACACTTTTCTCTCAATTTTTTTCAAACACTAATTGAGAGTGAACCGTTTTGAAAAGCAACAGCAAATTCGAAATTATATTTTGAGGTTTCTCTTATCTAGACACTATCACATTTACTAGAACTATGAGAGGATCAAAGAAAATGGTATCATAGCAAAGAAAGGTTTTGGTTTTTTTCTTCTTCATTTTCATATAAGAATATGGGAATGTTCCAAAGAAAGGGAGAAATAAGTAATTTCGAAATAACGCTTTACAAAAATGTCTAGATCATGCAAAAAAGTAACGTTCGGTAACAACCTGGAAGAAAAAGCCCTCTCTAAACAGCTATTTTCATATAAACATTGAATTACATGAATGAAAATAATGATAATGATAATAATAATATTAATAACAATAATAATAATAATAATAATATTCTTTATTCAGTAGAACACAGGATTACAAAATAACATTTCCTATGCAAACTGAAAAGAATGGGTTTCCTATGAAACATCAGCAACGTCAAATATAAAATTACAATCTACAAACAAACATATAAATATATAAGTAAATACTTAAAATTGCATCAAAATTTCAAGTAAAATGTAAAAATATGTAATATCATCCCAACTTAGAGTACGGTAATTTGTGGCTGTTACAAAAAATAAAAAAGTATGCATATATAACTCATACGTTACGCTTTCGTCAACTGAATATAGGGGATTTTCAATCAGATATCCCTTCAAAGTTCGTCTGAAGATTCTCATGGTATTGATTTCTTTGAAATGTTGGGGCAGTGCATTATATATTTTTATACAGTTATAGCACGGACCTTTCTCAAATAGACTTGTTCTATGTAGTGGAATGCGTGGATGTTTACTTATTCTTGTTGCCATCTTGCGGATGTATTGATTATTTGCAGGAAATTTGTGCAGGTATTTTTTTGGTGGTATTTATTGTTCTCATTCCATTTCAACTTACTTCCAAACCATTGTAACTGACTTGTATGCGTGCATATTACATGTAAATTAGGAATACCAACAACCTAGATTCGTTCCCAAAGAACACCGTTACTTAATTAACACAGCTCATATAATTAAAACCAATATTTCCATTCGAAAATTTATAGGGTAACCAAGATAGTGTACAGGAATTACTGTAAAAATGAAGTGCAATATTATCTATGTGTCTGTGTCAGTATTGTTTTTTCTAGTGGATTACACCGAGTGCAGAAGTTCTACCAATAATGTGTTATCGAGAAGAAAGAGATATTTAACGTTTCCCGAAGGAGCCAGTGTCTCAGTGAGTTCATTTATTTAATTACTAGCGAGCCGCGCCGGCTCGCACGGAGGCAATGCTGATACCAAATATATATAATCGCTTGCTTCGAAAATATCCATTTGAATTACATCTGTTTTGAAAAAAAATCTGTTTAAAATCTGTTTTTCCGTTAATCAGCTGTCGCCCCCATACGAACGACAACTCTCAGAAGTTGAGAAACTGGTGCGAGCTAAGGGCTAACGAGGTCTTACCTTTTAACGTGTGATTCCTAACACGGTATACTGTATGTTAATCAGGAAAAGTTTTGAACAAAGCCAGACTGTCCCTATGACCATGTCGAAGGATTTGTGGTAAAACTTGGGGTTTAGGTCCCAAACAAATCCATTGAATTGATGTGATGATTGTCAGACCAATAGCCACATATGGTGCAATTGCCTGATGGCCGAAGGCTTTACAGAAAACGGCCCAGGCGAAGCTCTCTGGCTTACAGAGCCATCAGTACCACATCGTCAGCGGCCATAGAGATCCTTCTAGATATAGCTCCTCTTCACATTTTCTGGAGAGAGAGGCTAGATGGACTTCAAATAGACTTGTGCACATTGCCAATTGCACAAATCAATTCAATGCAGAGTGCAACAGACTGTTGGTTGGCATTGGACTTTATGCCTCCAACTGTCAACTACGAACTGCCTTATAAAGTACTGTTTCCGAGTAGAAAGGAGTGGAAACACCTTCCGGTTCTGGTGCAGGTGCTTCCAGTCGCAAACCCAGGATAGAGACATCAACCTGCCTATGCGACTGTATTTCAAGAAGAAATTTACGATATTGAATTGTATGCGGAGAGATTGGAAGAATCCAACCTCATACACAAGTCAATAAAAATATTCTCGGACAGTCACGCGGCATTGGAAGCTCTTGGCTCCTTCCAAGCAACGTCAAAATGTTTAGCAAATTGCCAAAAACGACTTTCCACGATAGGAAGACTCAACAGACTATCGCTGGTGTGGATTCCTAGCCATACTGGCCTGGAAGGCAATGCAAAGGAGGGTGCTGCAAGCAGCTTCCCTGTCATTGGCATCGCATTAGGCTTTGCCAAACAAAGATTGAACACCTGGACGGCAAGAAGGTTTATGGACTTCTGGCAGAATCTTCCAGGATTGGCTTACTCCAAGGCGTTTATTCACCCTTCGAAGCTTGATACCAAACAGTTGTTGGACTACAGTAGGGATAAACTACGATGTCTAACAGGCCTTCTTACAGGTCACTGTCATTTGAATCATCATATGAAGAGACTTGGAATGTCGGACTGTAAAATGATGAAATAACAGAGCATATACTTTGTGCCTGCCCGCTGGGGACCGAATCAGATTCTCAGAATTCGGCAGATCCGTACTCTCACCATCTGACCTGAAAGACCACTCACCATACAAACTAATCGGTTTCGTTAAGAAACTGGGTTTATTTGGCCAAGTGTGAATCGGTATCAATAAACCCTTTCGGGTTGCGGTGGAGGGTCGAATAGACCCACTCACTTCAGACCTAACCTAACCTAACCTACTTAATTGGATAAGGGTTAATGTTGTATTGCTTAAGTCGCTTCGCAAATAAGACATTAATAAAAAATGGTTATTGTGGGTTATCCCTAAGAGATAGACATATACCATTCATGACTTTTTTATAGATCTTCTTAAGGTGTACAATACCGTAGTGCATATTTTTGATATATCTCGTAAGTTTCAGACAGCGCTTGCAATGTATGCGTAAAAAAATGAAAACCAATGAAATTATCAGTGTTTCTCTTCTATATTATGCATGTTATATACCATGGAATCACTCTATTCATAAAAAAACCGCATCATAATTCGTTGGTGAGTTTTAAAGATCTAAGCACACAGGGACAGATAGCAGGAAGCGACTTTGTTTCATACAATGTACCTAGTGATTACCTCCATGATTCTTTTTCATAAAGTTGTGGGGTTAAGGAGTAATATTTGAGAAATGAGGAGTTGGAATCCTCCTCCTGAACTCCTCAAAAAATCAGAATCGATTGACCCCACAAAATAGATTGTTGTGGACGCCTCGTGCATACATATTGAAATATGCTTGCACGAATGTGATTTTGAGAAGAGAAAAATTGAGACGAAAATATTACAAGGAAAGGGTTTCAGGTGAATGAATTGGTTGTACAGAATTTGAACTTTTTGAAGTTGATGTTGGAACAATGAAAGAATATACATGCGTCATAAATGAATTACACGATAAAACAAATTCTTTTATTTAGCATCCTACTCTTCTACCAGATAGAAACAAAGATACAACAGTTAATGTTTGCGTTAAATCACTGAAATTTGAACAATACTCGGTACATCGTAGCAAGGTAGACATACAGAGGTGGTTCGTTGGCATCTAGACTTTGAGAGTAACTACGAGATGGCTGTGTCTAATGTTCCACGAATTGAAATACTCAAAATCACAAATAACGGAATTGAAAAATGGAATATCCATCTAACATCGAAAGGTAGGTTAGGTAAGGTTATCAGCGTCATCTTGTTGCAATGATCCTCTCGAATACAGGTTAGGTTAGATTAGGTTAGGTTATCAGGGTCATCTTGTGACAACGATCCTCTCGAATACAGGTTATATGTACTTTTCAATTTTCAAAATGAGAGTGAAATTGATTTTTTAAACGCTAATGGATTTAACATTTTTTGGATGTACTCAAAAATCATTCTTTGAGCAAGTTTTCTTCTTCAACCTACGTTCTAAACAACAACTGTATTAAAAGGAAAATTTGAAGTTTCGTGGAATCATACCTATAAATAAAAACGAATTCGTCTATGAAAAATTATTCAGCTCATATTTAATTCTTCGAAAATTTATTATTGAACAATTTTTCATGATAATTTAATATTTCAGGTTGCAGTATGTATGACAGCGCAGACATGGGTCTATCCACCGGGAATATTCACCGAAAGTATCGCCTGGGGTATTGCTTATGAGTTACCAAATGATACAAGGTCTTTCAAAGATTTCTTGGGTCCGAAATTTGCTGGAAAAAGGCGGAATCGGAGGGAACTTTATGGAAAGATGGAAAAAATCATGGACTCGTATGTAGCGATAATTTCACTTCTTTTTGACAAAAAAAAATTGAAATATGTATATTTACTGATGTTAGAATGATTTTACAGAATGGGTTATGACGGAAGGGCATGCATTTTAAGAACTCTCTGCGAAGCTAGCTACAGATTCCTCCCTAAAGAAGATAACCTCTTGGATTCTATTCTCAAAATAGTATTTCGGTAAGCTTCTTCTTGTATACTCAGTGTATCATGAGTGATGACTTTGATTCTATTGGTCGATTTCAAAGAATTCATATAAACCTAACCTGACCTATCATAACCCAACCTGACCTAACCTAACTCAGACTAATTCAACTCAACCTAACCTCCCTTTTTCATGAAAATAATGTCGCAGTATCAATGAAAATAGACTTCACAATAGGTACTCTCCTGGTTTGTAGGATCTAGCAAATGTGATATTTCCATTCTTGAAAATTCCTAGTTATCTGGTCGTTTGAGTTATTTGTATAGGTTATGTAAGGTTACTTCCAAAGTGAATGGGTCTATTGGATCCTCCACCACAACCGACAAGGTTTTATTGTGGCTCACACTTATTCACACTCGACCAAATAGAGTAGTCTTTCAGGTCAGATGGTGAGAGTACGGTTCTGCCAAACACTAAAAACCTAATTCGATCCCCAGCGGGGCAGGCACAAAGTATATGCTCTGCTGTTTCATCGTTAATGAGGTAGTCGGATAGTCAAGGTACAAGATTCCCACCTTGATACCCGCTACAACTTTCCTATATGAGGGTTTTTGCACGTCAGCTACACCTGACCATGCCTTAGATTCAACCGTGCAGGGCTTTGTGGCCTCTGGTTTTGGTAATTCATCACTTGAGCACAAACGTTTGCTAACCTGTTCATGGGGTGTTTGTTCCTCCACCTGGGATAGATTCTGCGTACGCCGCTCAAGAATTTGGTGCAAGGAGGTTTAATAAGGTACCCCGATCTTGAGGAGACGACTCAGTCGTTTCCTGGCTGCACCACCAAACCTTTTTTTAGGTTCAGTCATTGGATCAGGGGTTGGGGAGTTGAGAAGCTCTCGCTCCTGAACTGAATTTACAGGGAGGTCACTTGGAGTTGTAAACTCGACATCCATCTCCTCTATAGACTCAGCGTCAGAAATTTTTTTTAAGTTTACTCTGTCTATAAAAGTCCCAAGAGTAGCTAGGGAAAGAAGGTCACAGCAGTGCCCCGCATTACCGTGACAAGGCGATGCTACGACGAGAGGGCGCCCGGTATCTCGAAGGTTCCGTAGTGACAGCTGATAGACTGTTACTACGGAACCTTCATTCATTCTCTCGGCACGGATACATACACCTTAGGATAAGGCCATAGTTGGGATGCCATTCAGTTAGGGAATAACAGAACCACAAGTGATTCTGTCATTTCGTATCCAGCGGGGCTACGTGGAAGTAGGCATTCGATGGCCGGTTCGCTCTACCCCCACATCCCAAGCAATGCACTCGCCGAAAACAGCATGCACAGTGGTTCAGGCAGTGAAAGATGAACAAGGACAGCCAATTCGCCTGTTTGTATTGGAGTTGGTATTCGAATCTGAGGAAACACTTCTCACACACAAGAAAAACATTATCTGTTCATATAAACCTAACCTAACCCAACATAATCTCCTAACTCAACCTAACCTCCGTTTTTGTGAGAAACCTGACGTCTCAGTGTCAATAGGTACTCAAAAGTCCAAAGAGAATGAATATTTTCTATTTGCCGCCGGTTACGTGATCAATGCCTTTCACGTCGGCTACAGCAGTCGCCCATCATATCTTGCAACAAAACCATTCCATAGACTTCAGTTCTTCAAGATTAGTTAGACATGTTAACAACAGGCAACTAGATGCCTATGAGAGTGTAGAAATAAGTTAACATAATGATATTATGAATAATGTTAACGGACCAATACCAAATAGCATACTATATAGCTTGTTGAAATAATATTGTTGGGTTTACTGATTACTACAAATAGACACATTGTAAATATATTTAGATAGGCAATATTGTGAAACTAATTTTATATAGTTGAAAATTGTTCTATATATAGCTGTAACATTCAAACACATAAGGACATATTGTAAAATAATAGAAAGGCCAATTGTGAAATTAATTTAGGGTGGTACACTTGTATGGGTGGTATTACTGATTACCTACCTGTATGATGTACCTGAATAGCATAAATAGCTTTAGTTTTGAGTAGTTTCTAGTTTTATCTTCCTCTTGAAGATGATCACTTGGTGATCGAAACACGTGTCGAGGTGTAAAAATAACGATTTGTTGTTGGGAAAAAACTCCAGTAATATTCATTACTACACCAAAGGTTCCAAACAGTACATCATAAGTGCTGGCTAAGGTACGATGATTCTTCGAATTCGAAAACTTTTTGAAGCCCCAGGAAACGATAGTTCCTTATTTACTGCTCTACAGATGAAGTGATACGCTTCGATTCTTTTTATCGAATTTGCTGGCTAATGTACGACAATTCTTCGGTCAAGACCGTATATGAAGAATACGTTCTGAAGCCTCAGGGAACGCGAATTCCTCATTTGCTGTTCTACAGACGAAGTGAAACGAATCGATTCTTTTTTATCGAGTTTGCTGGCTAAGGTCAAGATCGTACAGAAAGAATACGTTTGGAAGCCCCGGGAAACGATAGTTTCTTATTTGCTGCTCCACAGATGAAGTGATACGATTCGATTCTTTATATCGAATTTGCTGGCTAATGTACGACGATTTTTCGGTCAAGACCATGCAGGAAGAATACGTTCTGTAGCCACAGAAAACGCGAGTTCCTCATTTGTGATACGATTCGATTCTTTATTATCGAGTTCAATGTTTTGTTGGTTTTAGTGGCATTTTTTTATTATTCCATTCTGTTGCAATGTAACTCACATTTAATCACTGTATGGATTTTTTTTATTATATTCTCAGTTCTGCACACATATTAACATATTTTCAGATACCCAATGGAAAGACTTTTGGCATCAGAACCGGACGAGCATCGTATATACCACTGGGCCGCGCGGTTGGGGAAGGACAATCAAGAGTGTGGAGAGATATTCAAATGTCCGTTTTCTTTGATTGATGTGGCGATGGGAGAATATTCCCAGTATCTCACTTGAATAAACAAATGAAACCGTTAACTTGATTCATTGATTGAAACTCTGCCCTTTCAAAATGAATAAACAGCTAAACTTGCGAAACTCTTAATGGATGACAAATAAGTTGATTTTTTTTAAATATTGATCACCTTGGATAGTGGTATGGTATTCAGAATTTCTATGATACATATCAAGACGTATTGATATGTATTATAGAGACTAGTGTAACTCATATCCAATACAAAATAGGACGAAAAATAATAAAGACACCGAAATTGGAATTGTCTTTGGTAACTATTCACAAAGCAGCAAATTATTTCAATTGGGCATACGAGTACCTACATGAAAATATATTGATATAGCCGTTTTCAAACACGTTTTGAATGATTTATACAAATGATTTATAAAAATAATTACTGTTAATTTATCGAGATCAATTTTATGAAAAAGAACACATTAAATGAAACACTCCAAAATAGTATTCTTCGAAAGACAATTTCTGTAGAGGAGTCAATGACTTGTTGCCATTCATATTGAATCTTCTACAATCTGAAAATTGAACAAAGCTGAATCAATAGAGAATTTGAATATTACTGGAGTTTTTTCCCAACACCAAACCGTTATTTTTAACACCTCGACACGTGTTTCGATCACCTAGTGATCATCTTCAAAGAGAAAGATTAAAACAGTTTTAATCTGTTAAAAATAACGATAAAAATAACTCCAGTAATATTCATTACTACACCAAAGGTTCCAAACAGTGCATCATAAATAGAGAATTTCCCAAAGGATAAAAAAAACAAACTTTTCAGTTTTCCCCTTTCCTGGTAAATCATCATGTGCCAATGGGTGAGATGACCATGTAACAAAAGTATACTTCAGTTTGGTAGGTATTAAAATGTAATTTATAAGTATTATAAGAAAAGTTATGGCTAGTTCTGAGGATGAAACCAAGTCTTCTCGAACATTCTGCTTGTAATCTTTCAGCATTAATACTGAAATTGTAGTTTGAAGTGAAAACTACATCATTATCTTTGATTTCACGGACTATTTCGAAAGGAATATTTTCAATGTATACGTTCTTTCAATGGGGTTTCTTTTCCTGGTTATCGTTTTACACTTGGTTATATTTAATGCCAAGTAATTTTCTTTACAAAAAATGGAGATGAGATTATTATCATTTTGAAGAAAATTGGTATCTTCAAATTAATTTATGGGTCTGTGAAGCTTCAGGTGATCAGCATATAACACAAATTTTGAGTAACTTACGTGTTCAGATATGTCATTGACAAACATAACCTGTTATATTGATTATCCACGATATTTCACAATTTTCACCGTGGCTTCATTGTAAGTATTAGAACACACTTGACTATAATTCTTATAAACAACAGTAGTAGTTGCCTCACTTGCTTGCTTGATGGTAAATGAGAAAACCGGTAAAATGTGAAGAACAATCACAATCTTATTTCTAGGATAGCAGGTGAATTTTGAATATAAATGATTATTGGCATTATGGAAAAAGGTTTGACAATGATGAGTGGTTAACTTCTGGTTGGTCGTTCAGTGGGGTATTTGAATGTTTGCCCTTATTGATTTTCAGAAACTTCAGCGGGTTCAATTTACGTCCTTTATGTTCTGTATGTCGTAGATGGTGTTGAAATCGAGATTGTTCTCCAAAAGGTGGCACGCATAGGTGGAATTGGTCTTCTTCAGTTCAACACTTCTTTTATGCTCGGAGTTTCTTGTTCTAGAATTTCTTGATGTGCTTCCAATATAAACTTTTGAGCATGATCCGCATGGTAGTTGGTAGTTTGTAGTTACCTGATCTGTTATCCTTGTCTTTGTGTGACTTATTGTTCTTTATATGTCTACCTAAGGAGTCTTTTATGCTAAGCTAATATTTTGTTCATTCAGTATTATTTTCATTTCATCTGATGTTTTTCCAGTATATATGAGTGTTTGTTGTTAATTTTTGTAATAGTGCGGTCTCAAAAGTTTATCGAATTATTGGTTGAAAATCGAAATGAATCTTGTTAGTAAGTTTCTCAAAACATTTTCACAAAAAACGTGCTATGATGTTGATACCTGGTTTCTACTGTAGTAGCCTTGCAGTAAAAGCTGTAATATAGATATAGCTAATGTGTATCTTTCTTTCACATGCTACAGCGACAATCTCACAACTTCACAACTAGATTCCTTTAGCTTCTCACATCAAATATTTGGGAATTATGATAGACTGTCACCTCAGATGGAACTGCCACGCAGACTATGTATCAAAAAAATTGAAGAGCATGACCAATAGGTTTAAAGTCTACAGAGAGATATTTGACTTGAAATAAATGTCAATTCGGTATAACACACTGATTCAGACACATATAACATACGGTATAAATGTTTGGGGTGGTATCGCAGACTTGATCTTAAAGATCATACTCCACAAAAACTATAGATACCTAACGGAAACATTAGTCACAGAAGCAAAAGTTCCGGATCAATAGTCTGCATAACAAAATTAAGTTCACAGTAGAAATCAAACAAAACAAGGAGCTTAACTTCTTGGATTTGAATATTTCAAGAATTAATAATGGTTTTCAATTCAATATCTACCGGAAAAACACGTTCACAGACTTTACAATTCCCTTTGATTCTTTCAGTCCGCTCTCACATAAGTTATCCGCGTTTAGGCCAATGATACACAGAGCTTTCGCAATCCCTTTACCGGAAAAGAATTTCCAAGATGAAATAAAAATAATTAGGCAAATTGCAGTGAACAATCAGATACCAATTTCCCTAATAGAAAAGATCAGCTAAAACTCACAAAACACTTATGAGTAAATTATATCCAAATTGCCAAGAACACAATATAGTCAAGTACAGTAGCATCAATTACTCAGGTAAACTTTCAGAAAATATTCAAAATTGACCTAAAGTTTTATTAAAACAACGATAAAAATAAAATAAAAACAACAATAAACATTAATTGGCGCTCCGGGGCGACTTCATTGATTCAAGTGGAGCATTTGCTTTTTCAGCTGCAGGAAAACCCGGAAAAACCTGCATCACCACATAATCTGAAGATCTTGATCTAACAATGTCCTCTCTCTCTTAAAACAAAATGTAGGGTGTCTCCAGAGGCTCCAATAAATTCAATGCATCGCCAGAACACTTCGTGACACGACTATCGTCAAACTTAAATTATTTCTCTAAATACAAAATTTCAACAGCTTTCACAAGTAATAATAATTTAGATAGAACCCTGTTTAATGCACAACCCAAACGGGATAGAATGAAAAAATTGGGTATATATAGAATAGAGTGTGGCGAATGTTCTGCAGTATATACAGGCCAAACCGGTAGAAATTTTGAAACATGACTGCGTGAACACGTCTGTTTGGACAAAAAATCTGCAATGTACGAACATCTTCAAGAATCAAACCACAAGATAAATGAAGATAACCTCAAAATCCTACATATATGTAATAAAGGGAGAAAAACGAATCTGTTGGCGGCTATGGAAATTAACAAATCAATTAAAAACCAGAAACATACACCCCTAAACGAGCAACTTGATTTATGTAGGTCTCCTCTCTTGAATTTATGAGTGTAACAGCCCCTAGAATTTTCAGAGTGGTATTTTAAGTTGGCATCCTGTCTCTCAAATACCTGTCCTTGCAGCATACCTGAAAATTCTAATGGAATCGGTATTTCAAAATTCAGATTTCAGTTTTATACTTGATAGTGGGATCAAACCCGAAACCGGTCGTATAAATAAAATTTACCAGTGGTATTTAGACAAAAAAAAGTTTCATTCATTTCATTTAAGTGATCATGAATTACCATGAAGTAAACAAGTCATCAATCACACATATAATATCTATGTATATATTGTATATTCTATAAACTATAATTCTATAAACTTCTCAAGAACTTTAAATATTTTCGCCCATGCACAAGGGAAACCTTCTTTTGGCGCTTGGTATTTATTTACCACCATTTACTGTTAGCTCTACTTGTATATTGTAGTGTATATTTTATTGTGTATACACTTCAGTCTGTCTCATTGTTTTATACTCAGACACTTCCCAGACTTTTTCAATGACCATTGTAATTCATCAGGCAATAAAAAATTTATGACTTGATTTGATTGAACTGATTCCGAATAAACAGTCATCATCCCCGTGTTGATTTTACGCTTAAGCCTGAAACTGCATTGAATTAACAGCCGCGTCCTGCAGATGGTATCCAATTTATTTCCAGTGGCAACGATAATTCCGGTATCCTCTCCAGAATCCATGAGAACCCCGCCGACCGGGTATTGACTAACGCATTTCGGGGAAGCTCGCCCCGGTCCGCCTCCCCAAAGGAGCGCTGAGGGATGCTGCACCCCAGTGTTGTGGGATGCTCGCCAGGCAGCGGGACTCGCTGTGTCGGAATCCGTAGTCGTGAAAAAAAATACGGGAGACATGGACTTGCATTTTCTGACGAGTTTATCCCGGTTTCACAGGGGAAACATGTAAGAGGTGAGTGAACGAGTGTGATTTCGGTGTTTTTTGCTGATTTTTAGTGATGGCGGAGAGTTTTCGAGTCTCTCAAGAAGTGGGCGTTCACTGGCGGTGGGTTTGTCGTTATGGCTGATTTTCTGACGGTGATTTTTGTTCTATAAGATTCAGATTCAGTATTTTGGTCGCTTGTTCTTTGAGCAAACTTGAAAAAACCAGTTTTAACGACATTTAAATCTATTGAATTGCTTACGAAAATTAAAATATCTTAAATCCAATCCGACCAAAATATACTTCATTTCCTGTCACATCTTACGGAATGAGGTCCAAGAAAACATGAATGTCAAGAAAAAATCTAGCTACGAAAAGAACAAATACAAAAATTATAAAGACAATTGAGATCAAATATATATTGTGTTGAAGAGATAAACGATAAATTACTTTTGTAATATCAACTAGCAAATTATTAACTGCTTTTCAAAATTGAAGGTTACTAAAGTTTGCATTTCCTGTATTCTAATGCAAGTGAATGAACAACCCACCACCTGCAAAGTAGATGGACTCATTGTTTGAAATCCTTCAACTATAAATCCTACTGGGAGTAGCACAGGTAGTGAAAACAATGGAAAGCTTCAATTCATGTTAGTATACAAGGCAAACCATCTCAAATATAAACAGTGGTATGACTCTTAGAATTTTATTGTCTCTACAGAAATCTTTGGGATTGACTTCATACAGAAACCTCCAAAATGGTGTTCCGAGTTGTAGTCAAGAATCAATTAGCGCATGGTAAAGCCTATGGAAACCTAGCCCATCACAAACCATAATCACTGTTTATTATCTGGAGAAAATCCTACTTTTAGGTTCATCAAATCAGTCGATTGTTGTATAATCAGCGAACATAGAGCAACTATCAAATATATTAATCATAGTAATATCATTAAGATATAGCAGTAACAAAATTGGTCCTGACACAGAACCCTGTGGCACAATAGTTGATTGATTCAAACAAATTGTATATCGTTGTTTTCCTTCCATATTAACGCAGTTTTTGGAGCAATATTTCATGATTGAAGCAGTGATACAGCAGTGATACAGCAACATAGTACTAATTAGTACTACAACTACCAAATTCTACACGAGCGAAGCTGCGGGCATCAACTAATTTAGTATAAATATCTCGCCCCAAACTGTAATGGTTCTATTTTTATTTTAACCATAACCGTCCAATCCTTTGGATGCGGATATCCTAGAAGTTTGAAGAAATGGTAATATGTTCTTGTCTTCAGAGGGCAATCTGACATAGAAACCTTTTTTTTGGATGATACGAATATTGATGAACTGTTTGAAGTTTTTGGTGATGTAAGGAATAAATCAACATCTGGTTATGATGAAATTTCAATCAAAATTATTGAAAATCTTCCAATAGAAGCGCTCAGAACTCTTGTATCACGAATCAATCTTTCATTCAGAAATGGCAGGTTTCTATCCTTTCTAAAATTGTCAATAGTGATTTCTTTATACAAAGGTAACTTTGTAGATGATCCTTCAAATTATCGACCAATATCTCTCATTCTTACTATTGCAAAAATAATTGAAAAACTAGTTAAGAAAAGACTCAATGGATTTCCCCTTCGCCATAACATTACAAGGAAAAATCAATTTGGATTCCAGAGCAACAAGAGCACACATGATGCAATATTCTCTTTCCTGTTTGAGGTGTATTCAAACAGTATTGAAATAAATACTGGTGTACCACAGGGATCGGTTTTCGGGCCCATATTGTTTCTGTTGTATATTAACGATTTGATGAAATAAGTATATCTGGAACATTCACTCTTTTCGCTGACGACACCACTATATTGTGGCATAGTGGAGGTATAGATATACTCAATGAGACAATAGCTCATGATATACATAAAATCAAGTCTTGGTGTGATTCCAATCTACTCTCCCTTAATATTTCTAAAACAAATTTTATGAGTTTCAAATGTTCACTTCAGAATTTATCTCTATCCAGCGGAATCATTGAGAACAGAGAGTGTATTAAATTTCTGGGACTGTATAGAGACGGTGGACTGAAATTTAACGCTCACATCAGAAAAATGAAAAGTAAAATTTACACCAGCTGTTATGCAGTGAGAGTTATTGCTAGGGACCTGGGAGTTTATAATGCAAAAACTGCATATCACGCTTTGATTGAGACTCACTTAAGGAACTGTATACCTTTTTGTGGTGTGTGTATCCCTAATTTGCTGCAGTCTGTATTTGTATTACAGAAGAGAGCTATAGGATACTTGTGCAAAGCTAAACCTCGTGATTCGTGCAGGCAACTTTATAGATTAAAAAAAATGACGGTTGTAGCTCTTTTTATTCTGGAGACAGTATGTTTCATTAAGAAACATCTGCTGAAACTTGAAGTTACTACGCATCACTATACAACTCGTCAGAGCGTGCAAAATAATTTAAAACTACCTATCCCTTGCAACTCTCTGGTCAAGGACTCCTTATTTCACAATGGTGTGAAGATGTATAACCATCTGCCGAGTTACACTAAAGAGATACATATTGATACCAATCAGTACAGACAAATTATTAAAGAAATTTTGAGTAGTAGACCTTATTACAGTTTGATTGAGTTTTATACCGATCTTTTTTAACTTAGCATGTATTATGTTTATGTATGTTTCGACCATTGTTTGTAATTTTTCATTCAGTGTTTTTATACATTACATTATATTTTATCTTTATTTTATATTCACAGGACATTTATGTATTCTTTTATATTTATTCACTAACTTTGTCAACAAGATTTTTTCTTTGGACAATAAAGTATATATAATTAAAAAATCAAATTAAATCTGTATCAAAACAAAGTTCGATATTACTTCTGCATTTTTCAGAAAACATATTGGGAGTTGGATTTCAACAGTCATTCGACTGTAATTATCAATATTAGATTGAAAGAGTGAAGGATTTGTAGTGGTTTTTAGTTCGAAACTTGTCCCCTCAAAAACGGAAATATTTTGGATTTTTGCAAAAGTTCTTTCTCAGGTAAATCTGCCTTACGACATATTTTTTATGATCCACTCTACATTCGAAATTGTCGTCGGAAGAAAATTGGTAAACACGTTACAAAAAACATTTTACTTCAGTTCCCTATGATATTTTCTGAAAATTTTCAGTATACTTTCACGTCACTTTCTAACTTTAAATCGTCTGCCTCATTCCTTTCTGAGCAAGAGCAATTCATTCTTGTTGTATTGAATTTTTGCCAACAAAAGCATAACGCCTCTTCAAAAAAGAAACAACTTGTCGAGTAACGAGTTGGGAAAGTCTTGCAACAAGCATCATCTGTCTGTCACTATCTGATCGATTCATCGAATGAAGTACCCTTATTGCGAAGCAGCCTCCCGTTAGAGGTTAAGTGGATTCTGAAATAATGCGATACTCGTTCTTGAATGTGCCTATCAGATTTAATCTGTGCCCTTCTGTTGAATATTCGATTTGCTCATGAAAGCCACAAAAGAAATTGAACGAGCACAATGCTTGTATTATCGTATACACGAATCAATTTTTTTATGAGAAAGAACGGTTTTGGCTTTCTACTCCATCTTCATACAAAAAGGAACAAAGCAATTGATTACAAAATAAACCCCATACAAAAATGTGTATAGATAAAACTAATTTCATATAAATACTGAATTATACAGAAGGAGAAATACTGAATGAATATTGAATTATACAAAAACACTTGTTCCTATTCAGTTTGTACTCCAAACAGTCTATATCTATATTTTATGATAATAATATAAATGTGAAAGTTTGTGAGGAGATAAATGTATGTATGTATGTTTGTGGCTCTTTCACGCCTAAACGACTGAACGGATTTAGATGAAATTTTACATTAATACAGCTTATAATCCGAATAACATATAGATTACAATTTACAAAGGTTTTGTGTAATTTTGTTCATAATATGACGATATGTATTGAGTAAGTCAGACAAATTCTTCATAAGATTGTTTCTCTACTCTCTCCAAGAAATGTTTGACAGTAAGTAGGTAATGGCTCATTTCCTACGAAATTTTAAAAATTGATGAGAAATGTAACATTTGCTCTGATAAATCAGTGGATTTTCTCTCCAAATTCTCTGTAAAATCTAAATTAAAATCATATTTTCAGTAAATTTATTGTTTAACAGTTTGTGGGTTGGTAATGAATTTAGTTATATCCGTGAATCAACAATCACTTGTTTCCACTTGTCATTCAGTGTCTTGTAAAATTCAAAATGAGTGATAACGATCAAGAAATTTGTGTTACCACACCAGATATTACCGAGCAAGCAAATATTGCGATGAAGATTCAGCAAAAACTTTGAAACCATCGTCATTGCGGGAAATTTACTCCATGCTGAAAAGTACCCTGTATATAAAAAAATTGTGAACATCAGCCAGCAAATATTCCAAATCACGTGCGTCTCTTCTATAGCATCCATGTGAAACACATTAAATCTACTCATAAATAGTATTGAAAACATTTGTATTCCCACTGTTTCAAATTGTCAACAAAATAATTGTTATACTGTAACTATAAATGTACGTGATTATAACAAAAATGAATCCTGATAAAATAATTTGTAGGAATTATTGTCACCCCTCATCCCATAAACTTTCAGTTCCAGTGCTATAGTGCTATCTGCAAAATTCACTAAATCATTTGAAAAAAGCTTGTTCAAACATATCAGTGTATTTTACATAATTTTAAGGATTCTATAATGTTTTTCTCTTTATTTAGATTTGGAAACTTTCACGTTATTAGTATTTGTTTATGATGGGTAAATTTGCAACTTAACCCTTAATAAAAGAATATTACTGGAGTTTTTTCTCAACACCAAATCGTTATTTTTAACTCGTGTTTCGATCACCAAGTGATCATCTTCAGAGAGGAAGATTAAAACTAGAAACTAACTGGAAGCTAACCCTATTTAAGCTATATAGATATCCCATAAGGTAAACCAT